GGCCTAATAGGGGTTGCTACAGAGAGTACCTGTTGGGTGAAGTCCAACAACACAGGGGTGGGGGTGGCTGGGTGGGGGCAGGGGCTGTGATTGGCCTTCATGTTGCCACAGGCTCAACCACCACCAGGAGTCTGATAACTGTATCTCACGGATGTCCATTTGAATAATCACTTCAACAAGGGGAGGAATTAAAAAGCCTCTCAGGGAGATGGGGCCAGGCAGAGGGCCACATGCTGAATTCCAAATGAAGAGCTCGCATTTAAAAAGTGGAAACCTGTTGTACGGTCTACTGCATTGGCTCTCAGCACCCTTGACATCCATCGAAATTTGCTCCAAATCACGTCACACCCCAATTTAATCTAATAAATTATACACTATCACTTGGTGAAGACAACGCCATTTCTCTTCAGAGACGGCAGACGAAGGTGGTAGAACACAGAAAGACCTTAAAAAAAAAAAAAGATAGGTGTTTTTAAACCATTTAACAGCAGGCTTAACAAACACCACTGCAGGCTAAAACCACCATTAAAAAGGGGAAGCTGTAACGAATCATCCCATTCACACTATTAAATGGTTACTTGGAGAATAAACAGATGTGTGATCTTTATACTTCCTTCATGATCCATCCAACACATTGAAGTTGTTAGAAAAAAGGTAATCATAAAAAAATAACTTCACTTGACGCAAATTCAGACTATTAGTACTACTACTAAAAAGGTTGATAAAATCCGAAAAACATGCATTAACAGGAGTATTTATATCAGAGTACGAGGAACCTCCAGTCATGAACAAAACAGCATAACTACACTTGTAAAGAAAGAATTTGAATTGTGACAGTCGTTAATATTTCTGCATGCAGTATTTTTAAAGCAAACGGCTGCATTCTGAGTCTATTCTTTAATATCCACCTAGCAGCATCTGTGTGCCAATTATTAGTTTTAAGCAACATACATTTTGGCTTCTAAAACCGATATACCAAAATTTTATGAATGGCTTTGGGGATTTAAGTGTTTCCCGTGAATGAGTGAGATGTCCGTGAGCGTCAGACCGAGCTAAAGGACACTACGGTAAAATGCCAATTAAAAAACTGCACAGCAAGCATTTCTTTAAAGCAGCGGGAAAATTCTCAGGATTCTAATGGCCACTGTTCTTTGCAATTCCGGATGAAGCAAAGCTACTCGGCCTCCGCTTACCTGGATGGAGTGACATCAAATCTCAAACCTTGTGTTATTTGGAGGCTGCCTGCACAGATAGTCTGGATCCAGACAGCTCGCCTGGGCCTGCTATTTAAAGGATGGGTGATGAAGAAGAAAACCAGGTCTGACCTTTGATTGTGGGCGCTGACTAACTCTTTGGGCATTTTGTCGAAGCAGAGGGTTCGCCAGGGGTTGGGGTAATTTCTAATGTTTTGTTTTAGTCATAAATTCCCTCCTACCCTTTTTATGCTGGCCGTGTGACAAAATAAACTTGGGCGCATTTGAGCAGGTATTCGCTTGCATCCCGGTCTTTAAAAATAACCACGTGACATCATTGATTAAAAACCCCCACAAGTTGACAGTGGGGGCAAATTGGGCGTTCAGTCATCCATCCTCTAATAAAGGGCCGTCAGGATAAAGCAAGGGCACCGTTTAGTGCACAGCTGCACGCGAATGCCACGGCTGTATAGCTTAAAGTCGCAGCATTGACTGATCAGTGTCTTGCCACGTGGGACATCAAAGCGGAGAGACTCAACCCCAGAGAAATGTCTCGCACGCAGGTCAAAAATATTTAAACTGCAACACCGTTCGTGCCAGTTCAGCGCAATCCAAAAAGGTCACACCACCCCCCCGCCAGAAACAAAGACACGGAGCTGAGAATGACTCGAATCTCGTAAAATTCATCCCGAAACACGCGTTGCACTTGTTGATTGTTCAGCCACATGACAAAGCTGCGCCTTCCCATAAAGACGGACTAGTCTTTAAGTGCGAGGGTCGTTGTTTTTCCCGGGAGGAGTTTACCAGCCGCCTGGAACACAGACGATTGACAGACGAGAAAACACACTGCAACAGCTGTGAGTCAAATACCACCGGAGCGTGCAGGAAAGCCAAACGACACTGGCACGCGCGCGCACACACACAATGCAGGACACACAACGTCTCACATACCAAACAGCTAGCTAACGATAGCTGTGCGCTGGGATAGGTCATCATAACCACCTAATGCGAGGGAAACACGCGCGCACGCACGCTCCCGGCCCCGGGTGAGAGCGCGAGCAACGCTCAGCTAAAGTTAGCTGCCTACCAAAACTGGCTAGCTAGCTGTCAAAGTTGCCCTGTCAGTTGTCACCGGTTGCGCGGCGGGGCTAGCGGGCTAACGCGAGAGCTGTCAACTTGGGAGAGTTACGGCCAAAACGGCCGGGGTGTAGCAACACCGACCACAGGGGAGACGCCGACTGGCTCCCGGAGAAAAACAACGTTTTCCTCACTTCCCCCCCGCCCCCCCTCATTCCCTCCCTCGGCCGCCGCCGCCGCACGCCCCGTCACGGTGGGCGGAAAAGCCGCGAGCCAAAGGCCTGTTCACCGGGGCTCAATCCCCCCCCCCCCCCGCCGCGAGCAGCGGGCCAAAAATTCAGGGGAGCCCACTTTCCCGTTAAAAGCGTCCATTTGGTGGGTCCCAGTTTTACTTCCATGCCGCGCGAGGCTCACATTCCTTCGGGGGAAAGCTTTCCGCTGTGTACTCCACTTTATAACTGGAGGGAAGTTTCTGAAGGTAATGCCCGCCTTCCCTATCTTCTAGTTCCTCTTTTTATGTTTATTCAGGGGTGTCCCAGAGAAGGTCTCTGTGTTCATTGCGCCATCGTCCTGTGCAAAGAAGCGCCGTAGTCGTCGCTTCGCCGGTGTGCGTGCGGTGCCGTGGCGTCCCTCTTCAGCTTCTCTCCGCCTTTTCCGAGCCAACATCCGGGACTCTCCCCCAGCTTGGGTTAGGTGCCCGGAACTACTTTCATAAAACGTTACGACGACGCGCATGAATGTCTCTCTCTCTCTCTGTCTCTCTCTCTCTCTCTCTCTCTCTCTCTCTCTCTCTCTCTCTCTCTCTCTCTCTCTCTCTCCCTCTCTCTCTCTACCCTGCCGCCACAGAAACTAGCACGTGGTCAATTGCATACGCGTGCCTATCAGTTGCTCAACAACATCTTTATTTCATTTATACTTATTCCACCCCACTGCACATACTTCTATCTCAGTTTAATTTGATTTCATATGTTCATATGTTATTTTATTCTATTTTATTTGATGGTGTATTTATTGAGCATTTTCATTTTAAATGGTAATGTTGTGTATTGCTACTGCTACAAAGAATATATCTATCTCTTATCTTATTTAGAGATTATTTTTCATTTAATGCATTGCCAAGTGCTTTATGTTGTTACAAATAGATTTTTAAACAAAGAAGTGAAAAGGGGGGTAAAATGGGTAGTTTATGGCGTCAATGCGGGGTAATCAATTTGTATTTGTTGGTTTAAAGTTATAGGAAGAACGTTTGGGTTGTGGAAAACTGTCTTTGTCTGTTCTTTTTTATTTGGTAAAAAATATATTTGGATCTAGCCAAAAACTATTGTGGTCTTTATTGTGAATGTTATTATTATAAATAGATAATAACTGATGTATCATTAGTCATCCAGTAAAGCAGTTCATTCAAATTCATTCGTTCTCTTTTCTTGGCCCCAAAAATAGTATCATTGAAAAAAATATATCTATGGCCATTTAAAATACCAGCAGGTCTAACTCTCCATTGTACATTGTAGACTACACTTGAAATTTCCAGGAAAAAAAAAAGGACATGACCTCAACGTCCTCAATGGGAACTGCAGCCCTGGTCGCAGCAGTCCAGTGAGCTCACGTTGACCATGTCTCAAGTTACTTTCCATACTTCTTAGCTTAGAGTTTTTGTGTGGTGTATTTGAGTTATAGCATCATGTTTTATAGGTGCCAATTGTTTCATGTATTCCTATGATGAGGTCCCATATAAAACCTACTCAGATCTTTGATTTGTTTTCCTTGTTGTTGATTATAAACTAAACATTTCATCTACAATTTGCAATGCTTTTTACATGATCATAGCTATTTTCTATTGTTTTGACAAGGTTGGTTGGTAGTTTTTGAGATCGTAATAACCTTTTCTCTTTTTCATTATCTGGATTGAGTGTCTCTTGAGATGACTCACGGGACTCCAGGGATGGGTTTTTCAAAACGAGAACCAACTCTTAAGCTCTTGTCTGTTTAACTGAAAATTTCCCATTAAAATTACCATTTATTTTTTAATAAACCTGAACAAACATATACACGAATTATGACGAAATTAATCTGCTCAATCAACTCGGTCAAACATATCTAAAGGACTGCAGCAGTGGTGAAACGTTGTGGGCGTCTGTTCAGCAGCGCAGCAGGGCCTCCCGCGGGTGGATCAGTGGTAATGCAGTAAATACAGTACATTCGTTGCTGAGTAAATGAATAATCTTTTTTTTTCCCAATGCCTTTAGATTGAAACATGGGGTCGTAGTTTTTCTACGTGACATGTTTTAATAACGTGAAAACCGTACAATCAGCCAGGAAGGTATTCCATCCACACGCTAAAAGAATCAAATCCAGGGAGTACTTTGTATTTCTAATTGATTTTTGGTACCTTTTATGTACATGGAGAGATTCAAACATAGTATGGTTTCAAAAAGAGTATGATTGAAAAATCATACTGCATGAAGTAAAAACTTTAAAAACTAAAAGTTGATTAAAAAAAAAAAGTTGAATGAGACAAATGAGAAGATGAGTGCGTTTCTTTGTAATCTCACAGTCCAGTTAAAAACCCAATTAGAGGGGTTTCTCCTCTGGTGTCTGTGTGATCCCATTCTGACCCCTTGTATGAATGTGAAAAACAGTAATTGATGCGAGACCTTGTCTCACCCTCCTCATAAATAGCACGGGCGGTTGTGGCGGTAGTACCGTCTGCCACCACCGGGGGCGCTGACGGGTTCCCTCTCTCATTAATAAGGACCAAAGAAGTCCGCTCAGAAGTTTCAGGAAGTTGTTGTGAAGAAGCTGACCGAGAAACTGCGGCGCTATATAAAGTAGGACATTTCGCAGTTGTAATTACCTTCAACTATTGTGGCGAAACGAGCGTCGTTTTGAACGCAGTCGCGTTGTCACGCTGGTAAACTATTGTCTGACAGCAGCTTACGTTGACGTGACGTGGCCCGCAGAGCTGTTTTAACGGGGAAATCGAACCCCGTTCCTACCTGTGATTAGTGGCTGTCATAACAACTTACATCCGTGATAGCATTTCACAGAACGTTAAATAAATATAAAGTTTTCTTAAGACGCTGCTTGTACCTCTTCAAACTCATAAGATCCACAGTTGCATTCCAAACCTTTAGAATAAACGTTCACAGGTGTAACAGGCAGAGACGACGCACAAGTTACATCTAGCGTGCGTCCCAATATCCGTATCACCATAGCCTTTATTATTCCCCAAGACATAGTATATCAAATGTATGTGCAATTTATCAGAATGTCCTACTGCATCAGTCTGGTTCGTACAGAATGGAAGCCAGTGTGCTTCTCCGGCCCTTCTGACCAACAATCCCTTGTGTGCCAAATGTTGAGAAAGAGGGTCAAACGTCATGAAGCAGTATTTCCCAACGGCACGCGTACTGCGTTTCAACAGGAGTTGCTTTGCAGCAGTACATGCTAAAAGGAAAAAAGGAGAAAGAAGCATGCCATTGGTAACAGTGTAAATCTTTGTCTTTTTTTAGGTGATGGCCAAACCCAGGATGTCTTCCATCGACGGGAAGTTAGCCGAAGAATTCGCCGTTCCCGCCCACGTCGAGGAGGTCAAAGAGAAGATGGCCGCCTTCGCCGGACACCACGTGGCAGCGGGTCGCAGGGTGGTTCTCATCACGTCGGGCGGAACCAAAGTGCCTCTGGAGTCCCGCACCGTACGCTTCCTCGACAACTTCAGCAGCGGCAGACGAGGGGCCTCGTCGGCAGAATATTTCATGGACTCGGGCTACGCTGTCGTCTTCCTGCACAGGCATCGCTCCCTTTACCCCTACGCGCGGATGTTCTCCAACATTAACATGCTGGACGCCCTGAAGTTCAGCGGTGGAGACGGAGCGTCCGGTAACTCTGGTGAAGTGGTGGTTAACCAGCAGGTGCTTCCAGACATTGCCAGAGCTCTAAAGAGATACCAGGAAGTGAAGGAGGGCAGACTCCTGCTGCCCATAGAGTTCAGCACTCTGTCAGAGTATCTGCATCTCCTCAAAGCAGCGGCACAGGCCCTCAGCGCAATAGGTACAGATTAGGAACTACTTACGGGTCGAGGTTGTCAGCATATTGTTCACAACTCTGTATTCTTCCCTCAGAATCCAAGGCCATGTTTTACTTGGCTGCAGCCGTGTCGGATTTCTACATCCCGGCATCCGAGATGCCTGAACACAAAATCCAGTCATCCAACGGACCACTTCAAGTGCGTAAGACGATAAAAGCTCAAGCAAATATCCATTCAATCTTATTTTTTAAGTCTTACGAACATCACAGCTGAAGGGACTCATAACAGTGTAATAAGAATACACTTCTGTTTTGCTCTCCCCTTCAGCTCAGCATGAACATGGTCCCTAAGATCCTGTCCCCGCTGGTGAAGGACTGGGCACCCCAAGCTTTTGTCATATCCTTTAAGCTGGAGACGGATCCGACCATCTTGCTGGACAAGGCTCGACGGGCCCTGGATGCCTACAGGCACCAGGCGGTAGTGGCCAACGTGCTGGACTCTAGACGGGGTTACGTGGTGGTGGTGACCCCCGAGACTCAGGCCGAGCTGATCATCTCCGATGAGGATGTGAAGAACGATGTGGAGATAGAGGAGAGGATAGTGAGCAACCTGACATCCGCACACAACAAGTTCATAACTCAACAAGGAGGTTGAACAGAATCCGACACTGCATGTTTGAGTCTGTGAAGCAGCTGCACTTCGTTGTTGTTCTTGTGTGCGGTTGCAAAACTTCAGAAATAATTAGAACTATTAAAAAATAATGGCTTCCCTTGTCCTTTAAAAAATGGACCTCTACGTGATCTCTGAAAAAGTACAATATACAAGTTTCAAGGTTTGTTTATTTTGTTGACTTCTCAACAATAATTGACAACTGAATAATTAGGGACATGGTTTTACTACACGCATAAAAGAAAGATTACAAGTACAATCCATAGGGAAATTTTCAATCCTGTGGTTTTACTTTGCAGCATACTATAGTTCCCTGCATGGCTACTTAAGTTTGGTGCTCTTCTTGACACCAGCACGAATACCAGAGCGCTCTCCACTGTATCTCGTCTCCTCCCGACGGACGTCTCGCACCTGGTGAATATGAACACAGCCACATAAGCTAGATTCAAACTGAAGAGCCTACAGACAGAGACGCTTCCCAGAAGCGTTATGATGCTCTCAAACGCTGTAATAAGAAGGGTCTCCTCAATGTGCCGAGTACAAACCTGGCCCTTTCTGCGGATCTGAGCCCGTCTGAACTTCTCTCTGTGCTTGACTCTGGGATTACGATCAATTTTCTTCCTCTTAGGTGTGAGTCCCTTGTTCTTGAACATCTGTGAGATAGATAAGAGGCCCGTTAGAAGACTTATTCAGAAATGACAATTGCATGTAAACGTATGGAATGAATTTAGAATGATTGAGACAAAAAAAACAAAAAAACATTTGTAAGCTTGCTCTGATGTACTTTACAAACAATAACACATGTTTTACCCTCTTTGAGATGTTCTCCAAAAAGGTGGGAAGACAATAGTCCACATCCAGAGACAAACTAAGCTGCTGTGAAACTAAATTCTAAATCCTGTTAGATCCTATAGATAACCTTAATTAGACCGTACATACAAGTTGTCCATTTTTGGCAAATTGTGAAGATTCACCTGATCTGATGCGGTTTTGTTTATCTTTAATATTCTAGTTTTGAGTATCATCGTGGAAGTAGTTGTAACGCTTTACCTGGTACGTGATTCCTCTCTTAGCATTTTGATCCTCCTCCACAACATCATCTTCTTTCTCCTCCGTCCTGCAACACATTAATAATGTATCAGATTCCCAGATGAATTTAGTCAGCTATTTTGAAGAATCAAATCACACTTACTCTTCGGCTTCAGGAGCTCTGCGCTTTCTCTTCGATTTCGACCGCGCCTCCACTTCTCTGTAGAAACGCAGAGCCGCCTCCTCGTCCAGGTCCGAGTCAGAGTCCTCCGCAGGCAAAGTTTCTCCAGAATCCTGCAGATGGGGTGCGCCCATCACAACTTCAATTCCACATTTAAACACTAGCGAGACATTCGGAATCGGGAGAGAACACGAATCTCACCATTTTCGTCTTGGCGGCGGCGCCTCTGGTCTTCTTGCCCTCTGGCGGTCTGCTGGCAGTCTCGTCTTTCTCACCGGTCAGCAACTCGCGAAACTGAGGGGCGAGGCGAGCGTCTACCGAACCCAGCTCATTGATGAGCTGCAGACAGGAAATCCAAAGAGTCAAGAGGGAAGGCTTTACGCGCGGACAGAACTTTTCACAAACCGTAACAAACCGATTCATGCTGTCCAAAATTTAAAAAAATGAATTGTGCACTTTCCCTGACAAAGTGAAGTTACGTCCACTGATGTGGACGTTGGCTTACGTTTCTGTAGGCGAGCAGTCTTTCAATCACCGGGTGGTTGTGAGCAGGGATTCGCTTGGCCTTCAGCACCAAGTAGAAACTGATGTTTGTGCAGTAACTGTGGGACGATAGAAAGACAAGCCGCTCAGTGAAGGACGATGGCATCACTCTGCAACACGTCGCTGCGATTGCGTCCCCACTTACTTCAGATACAGCTGCTGTTTGGTCTTGAGGTAGTCGGCACCCTTTTGGAAGACGAGTCAAAAGTTATTCTTAGTCACACACTGGATTGCCATGGCAACACGGGGTCATTCATGGTTTTTTTCCTTCTCCCAACAGTCTACTTTTCAACACAGCATCTCACCTTTCCGCCATTGATAAATCTCACACTTCTTTCTGTCTATCATCCTCGGGTTAAGCGTGTTATACAAACATTACAGAACATTTTAAACTGTACATGGTGTGTCATTAAATATTCTGCAAAATAGCTGTAGGTGCATCACGGCAAGCGACTTCGTTCACAGTATAATTTCTATTGTAACGTTTAACATTTAGCTGGAAATGTTACTAAATGACTCACCTTTCCCGGTGGGATCTTTCCGGTCTTGACCATCTGCATGAGAGGATGCAGCTCATCCTTCAGTTCACTGAGCTGCATATGGAGTACATTCAAAAACAAGCAGATCGGTTATTATTTTATTCTGTGGCAACTGCATTAATAGCTTTTAGCAAATTGATTTACACGTGTGTTTTGGTTGCTTTCTTGTGACTCACCTTTGCCTTGAAGTCCTGAATAAGTTCAAGCAACTCTGGTGACTCCTTTTTCAAAAGTTTCATCTTTTCCTTCTGGGACATTTGCTTCAGGTCTTTCACAATCCGCTCTTCTTTTTCCAGTGTCTTGTTTTCATCCTTCTCTTCCATAGCAAATTCCTTCATTCGGATACAAAAAAACAAACAATTGCAATAAACATATTAGAATTACAACCTCTGTGATGTCTAAGCTGCAGGCGTACGCAGACTCATAAAGACAAGATACCTTAAAAAAGTTCAAATCATAATCCTCCTCGCTCAGATTTGCAGCTAAACGTTTCTGGATATTCTTAGCCTCTTCTTCTTCCTCTTGTTCCTCAGCTTCCAACTCGTCTTGAGATTTCCCCTCTGTGAATGACACAATTTAAATTTAGCACCAGCCAAAATCAGCCAAAGACAACAAATTATCAGGAACTGCTCCATTACTTACTGGTCATGACGTAGTCTGAGTCGTAGAACATCTTCTTCTTTTTGCCCCACGCCATTTCATTAGGAAGATCTGAAGAAGACCACAACGTTACGGCTAAATAAGATAGAAGGACATTAAAGAAAAAACACTGGTCTTAAAGCGATGTTTACCGGCTTCTTTTTTGCCCTCGAGATCACTGTCCATGTCGGTCTCCTCATCCTCTTCTTCTTCTTCATCTTCTCCCTCCACCTCCTCCTCCTCCTCGTCGTCGTCGTCGTCCTCTGAATCATCCAGGGCCATCACTTCCTCCTGCGAAATTCAGCTGAGCTTGAAATCATTCTTAAACTACTTGAGGGAAATCCAAAATGAACACACAAGTCATCACCTCATCATCCAGGTCGTCCTGGTCACTCTCCATTTCAACCCCGCTGGTGAAAAGTTTCTGTGGCAAAGAGATGGCAGCAAAAAAAATGAGCGTTAGGAAAAAAACTTAAAACGGCAGAACCTGAATGCTTCACAGATGGACTTTTGAGGGAAACTTACCGTGATCTTGTCATCGTGAAACTCATCAATTTTGTCCTTTGTGTATTGGGAGGATTTCTGAAAGGAAGAGAGGAGACTTGTTTATATCTGACTGCTGAAAGGGACAACGATACCGGAGCAGAGCTCCCGTGGGGACAGGATGCTGATGGTCGAGAGCGGCTCTGGTTGTGGTCACTACGATAGTGTAAAAGATTTTTTTCACGTCGCCACGATAATAAACCTTTTATCCCTTTTGACTGCTTACGCTGCAGTGGGCTCTGACTTTTGGGAAATCACCTCCCGTACGGAAACAGAAATATTTGCTTCGCAATATTGCTCTGCTCTATATTATATTACATTTTTGAGGAACATCCACCAATAATAAAAGGCAACATATAGTAATAACTCCCCTCTGCACATACATTCTGGTATTAGGAACCTATACAGTGTGATATGAGACAGCGCAGTCACTTTTTGGGGGCTTCATAGATAAGAAAAACATGTCATTCAACAAGTCATTGAGATTTGTCTCCGGTTTCTGTCTCACGTGGGGACTCAAAGAGAACGTATTGCTCTCCAACCGAGTATTGTGTAGCTTTGCTTGTGAACTACATTTGCAAATTTACCCCATATCATAGTAAAGAAATCACATTTTGACTGACAATGTCATGGAACTCTGTCCATCAGGAATCACATTGTACATGTAGCACACATGTAACACACGGGCTGTTATGGACCTTTCTTACCTTATCGGGGACAGGCATGTTCTTGTAGGCTTCAGGGTCATCATCGTCATATTGCTCTACCTTTTTAGTCCGCGGTATCTTTATCACCCTGGGAAAGAGAAAAAACGATGTCTACTGAATCTGCTCGGCAGAATTAATGTATTTAAATAACAGGAATTACTTGAGCCGAACTTACCTTTTTGTTCGAACCATGGTGGAAATGAATTAAAACGCGTTTGCTTCACACAGCCGGAAGAAATGATTTCCAAACAATACGGTCAACGTCGGTGCTTATTTATGCTTGTAGGTTATGACAATTTTTGTTTAAAAAAAGTAAATATCCAGTTGAGTTGAGTTGAATCTTCACATCTCGCTGGTCTCAGTTACCATGTGCTTCCGTGATTTCTTCTTCTGCACATTAAATTGCGGTCTACACAGCGGCGTGAAAGAGCCACAGCGCCCCCTACCGCGGCGGCCCGTTGAGTTCACGACATATTTCTACAAACAAACGACAATGACAAGCATTGTGCAGACAGAGGAAACTATCAAATAAAAACTGGTTATCAAATATGACCGAACATAATATTTAACCTAATTTAATTTAGTTCATTAAATTAAAAGAGTTCTGTATCTGATTCGAAATGTTTCTTTTTGAATGTTTGGAATTATTACGATTATTCTTAGTATTTGGGATATTGTTTGTTTTCACTGATAACTGCCGATAGCTTCAAAAAGACAGTTACATTTTTTTTTACACATACATTTCACTCATTCAGTTGCTGATGCAAATCACTTTCTCTTTATTCATTTTACAGTTGTCTGACCCCAAAATGTCTCAATATTACTATTTAATGTAAAAACAGTCTTCTTCGCTGTGCCACATATTAGCTCGATACTAGGGAATAGTTCTAATCAGTCATTTAGATGTATTTTTCCTTTGGCCTCATAAAGTATCATTTTAAAGTCTGTATATTGGCACCTGCTTAAAAAAAACTGTTCTTGTAACTTCCGGACTAAAACTTTTAGCATCTTATCACCCTGCCGACATCTTCTTTTAAAATCATTTATTACATTCATTTCATACTTAACACCCATCTCAGTTTGGGTGCTTAACACTACCGAGGTTGTAACTAGCAGTGAATGGCAGCTGCCTTTACTACAGTGATAGAAGATGTTCTTACAGAACGTATCGCTCATGTATTGGTTTCCTCTCTCCTCATTCCTGTTCTCCATCTGTCTCTTCCAGTGAGACTCTCTTCCTCTCCCACAGTCCATAACTGAAGCTGCGGGGCCTCTCTTTGGGGAGAAAGTTTTTGGGGGTTCTGTACAATGAAGGTTTCAACTCATCGTTCCGCTTCTTCATCAGAGCCAGAGCTGGTGTCATGTACTCAGGGTCAAAGCCCTGCAAAGGAAACAGGAGATAAATGCCGAGATAAACCATTTGAATCATGTGCTCAATATCAATGAACTAAGTAAAGGATTAGCGTTATTCTTGGTGACTTAAAGAGAAACATCTCTGTGAGGTATAAATGCATTTTACAGGTTGCATCCACACACTTACGCTGGCCTTAAAACGCGGCACCGGGACTCGGCCATCATCTCGATCTTGGTTGTGTGTGCTCAGCTCTAACATGGAGCGGCTCAGCTCTGACGCGGCGGCCCTCGATCCTCGACCCGGAGTGCTCTGCCGAGGAGGAATCTTCTTCATGATGTCACTCAGGGAGCTGAAGCTCTCGTACTGCGGCAGTTTTAGGATTACAGGTTTCTGTGAGGGAAAATGCATCTCAGTTCATCTTAAATCCTTTTCACACGTTTAACAAAAGCGTTTTGACGGGACCGCGAATGACCTACTCTAGAGGATGGTGTGTTCTCCTCTTTGGAGCTCATTTGCTTCATGGTGCTCTCTTCTTCCAAAACGCCCTCGGCCCTCGACTGCTCTCCTCTCTTAAAATAAGGAAGTATATCTTCTGTTGGCTCTGTTGCTTTATCATCATTACGTCCTGTTGTTTTTTGGTTATGGAATGCGCTGCTCTTCTCTGTGTAGAGTTGCCTGGAAATTCCTTTATCTTCTGTGTGTTCCACCCTGCAGGATAAACAAATGTTTCCCTTGAGATATGATTTGTTAATAATCATTTCAGTATGTTTCACTTATATCTTTTGGGTGTTACCTTTTCATTCTTTCTTGCGATGTCGCATTCCTTGGCCACAGCTGTGCGTTGCTCTGAAAATGAATGTCCCTGAGAAAAGAATCACTCAATGTAAGCAGAAAAGATCACAAGCCGATACTCTTCATCAGTGTGTAAACAGAATTGGTTGTTGCAAGACTCACTTGAAAGTTGATCTATCCAGTAACGTCTTTGTCCCTTGAGCGGCGTTTTCTTGTGGCCTGTCACATACAAAAACAAGTAGTACAAGTACAAATATAAAAAGTATGCAGCATACAGCAACAGTATGTTTCAGTATTTTAGAGCAAGTTTCAAAAAGGTTTATTGTAGTAGAAATATAATGAACACAGCACATATTGCATCCAGCAGAGTTGTGTTTGTGCAAATGTCAATGCACATTTGAAATATCAATACTGTATGATTGGAAAAAGACAACTTAAAGATTAAAGGTGTAGCACACGGCATTGGGAGGATCTCCACTGTCTCTCCAAAGGCAAACAACGGAGATGCTTGGATTTTAACCCACACTGAGGAACCCGCTCAGGTAAATATTACCCCTCTATCATTTAGATAGAAATAGTTGTTGTTTGGCATGCTCTGAAACACAAATATTGCACCTGTAAGTCAAAGTGTACCTTTTATTTCCCCCAAACTGGTTTCCATTGTGAGATGAATCCGTGTTTTTCATGAACTGCATTGTGCTCCGCAGTGATGTTTCCACGGCCGTGATTTCCTCGGGCCGATTAAAGCACTGACTCTCCGGGAAGGAGCGGTTTCTCTGAATAACCCCCATGGCTTCCCAGTCCAGGAGGAAATCACCGGGGGGCGACGGAGGATTGATATTCTCGGGCTCCAAATGGTGCCGTCTTTTAAACTCAAGTTCCGAGAGGTCGCTGAGCTGATGGCGCACATCCACATGAGCGCCTGCGGCCCTCCGTGGGTCCGGGACAGCGAGCGAGGCGGCGAAAAGGATCCTGAACTCCCGATCAAACGATTCGACAACCGGGCCGCTCAGAACCGTGATCAGCTGCCGGTGAAGGTGGGCGTCCGTCCACGTGAAGCTGCAGAGCGCAAAGACGCCACGTCAGAGTACTGTCAAGCGCGTGTGTGCGATGCATGTGAAAGAAATGAGACGAGAGTACAAGACGGCTCACCTGTAGCTGCCGTGAATCACTGTCTCCAGATCCACCAGTAGGAAATTGTCTTTCATTTCCCCGACCACCGTTTGTCCCGTCCTTGACCCGAAGGTTTTCCCTCCGAGAACACGGACCCGCATGTTCTGCCGAATCACAAAACGTGTGTTGGATTGAAAAGCTGAAAGGTGTGATGGGCCCCTGTGTTGCAGAGGGCTTTGAGCTAATTGCTAACATCTGCATGCTGCCATGCTTCCAGTGGCAATGCAAACATAGTGATTTTATATTTGCCGATATTATTGATCATGTTCACCATCTGATCTCATCTAGCCTGTTGCAAAGCTAAAAATGTGTATTTTTTTACCCAATTTGTAGCCACAGCCCTAAATGTGTCCATAAGTTGTTGTGGCCTGCTTATCAGTGTGTAATATCATATATTTAACGTAGCGAGTACTTTCCCTAATGATAAAGTGCTGCAGGAATTAGTTATATAATCCTGAAATGAGTTCCCTTGTCTTTTTTTAAATATAAAACATCAGTAAATACGTTAGTGTATATTAGTAACAACGTTTTTTCTTCTTGTGTTTCATTCGCGCTATAAAAAGTAATCTATGTATTTCTATTCAGCGGTCAGTCAGTGACCCTGTCGGCCAGTTCATCAATTTCGTGTATCCTATATAAAGGAAAATATGATTGTTTCATTTTGTTGACATCAGGCGAAACCTTTCGACACGGGAAAGAAACAAGGAATGCTGCGCAACCAGTTTAACTACGAGCTGTTAGGAATACAAGTTACGTTCCAAGATCACTCATGCAAGTAAAAGGACAATAATGAGAGACCTCTCAAGGGTACATACGGGCTCATCAAGTTCACTCTTGGGGCCTACATTGAGATATAACCTTGTTAGAAAGAATCCAACAACAACAACATATAACTGTATAAAGAAAAATGAAGACTCTGATTCTTGTAAACTGGTGCCGTTTGCTTTTAGCCCAGCGGGGTTTGTGTATTATTCATTGCAGTGTCACATGTGCGCAGCAGACGGTTGCCATAGGTGTGTGTGTTTCTGTTGGTCGGTGACTCACCGGATGCCGGAGCCTGTTGAGTGTGAAGTTCTCTTGAATGGACCTTTGGTTGAGGATAACGTAGACAGGGACGCCCCGTGAAGCAGCAGTGTGTAAATCGCCAATTATTGCAGAGTCTGTCAATCGGTCCGTCACAATGGCTATGACCTGTGTAGTACACAACATGCCTCTACTCAGACGGCGGCCGCCACAAAGGAGAAGTGTCCTTGTTTTTCTCTTTATTGAAAGTAGTAGTAGTAAAACCGAGGAAGGCTACTGCGTGCCAAAACAGAGTGAGCAACGGTGCAGAACGCTTCCTGTATGAATACCTTTAAACTGAAGCAGTTTCAGTTGTTTGGTTTATTCACCATTTTAAACTAAAGTCTTAAATTACATTCACCAAATAAACATTGTGGTGCAAAAGAAGAAATCTCTCTGAAATGTGGCGGTGACAGGATTGTGCGCCTCACCTCCACCCTTATGAAGAAATGTGTTGTGTTGGTCAATAAAAATAACATTTGCATACTTGGCCAGCCTTCTGCAAGTGCTGCCTGACGATCTGTCTCACGGGAGGTTCTCCTTCAGCGGGCGGGCTGGTGTGGACCGCGACGCCTCCCGTTTGCACCGAGGGGCCCTTTTCAGGCCACCCCAGGTCCAGGTTGGGGGCCGGCGTGTCCGAGCGGCAAGGGAAGTAGGTGGAGCAGACGTTCTCCATCTCCGAGCCGCCTTCCTCTCCGTTCTCCTGACTTTGCACCTGCGGCTGGTTGAAGCGATGGTCCTGGGCCCAGCAGGTGATCTGGCTGACCTCCTCGGAGGACAGGAAGCAGCCGCGGTGCTCCGCGCCGACGGCGCCGTAGAAGGCCTCGGGTCCCGCGTCGAGGAGCCTCTCCATCAGTTGACGCTCCTTCTCACAGTGGAGGAACTCCGGAGAGAACTCGTTCACCGGCAGGAACACTGCATTCTCGTCCAGGCTCTGCTCCTGGGAGTTCGACATGACCGCAGACCGGCGTGTCCCCGGGATACCGTTCAGAATTCCCCCACCACTGACTCGTGTTGCTTGGCAGCAAGGCTAACGCCGGACAGTTCGCCCGTCGCCCTTCTTCCTAGTTAGAGTGATTTCATTCATCCCGCTGGTACAAAGTTATTATATTTCCAGGGTGGCAAGAGCTGCTACCTTGCTGTCGATTCTGCAGACAATCGTTTTGGAGAAGGAGAGTCTGTTCAGTCCTGAGCACGTTGAATGTCCCCCCACCTCATGTTGACATACGCACAAATACCATAAGAGACGGGCTGAAGTGATCAGTGTTCTAAACAAAGATCTGTTTCAACACACGAAAAAAGCAACGTAATGTGAAACTCACCTCCTCGGCAGCGCGTCTCATCCCTCAGGCTGAAGTGTGACGCTTCTCATAAGCTGCGAGGAGTGTTTCTCCCGTGCATGCCGTCTCACGACTCCTTTATCTTCCACTCCTTCTTACCGACATTGTTCTCAGATTAATGAAACATTCTTTGCAGCTGACCGATCAACCAGCTCCTCCAAGCGCATGATCCTACTGCGCCACTGCCTCAATTCCACAGCTGCAGTATTTCAGAGTAATACTTTCTATATCCTGTTTTCAGGTCACACCCCTTCCACACGTCTTTGGCGAATAATTGGCATATCTAAGAGGCTGTTCTTTACCCCACAGTTTACTTTTTGGACTGGTCCAGCCTGACAGGTAGGTCAGTTGCGTAATACCCAACGCTCAATATGGCTTCCAACATAAAGGTGCGCTGCAATCACAGCGGTTTGTTTTTTTGCTCTGTAAATACTTTTGTCAGAACAATGGAACGCTCAGAAGTGTGACCAGCCAGTTCGTCAACAGCTCATTGTTCTCTATCGTGGAAGTAGAGGAAAATGGTGCGAGCATACTTACTTACTTACTGACAGAGTACACAATCGGTGCGGCAAAACGATAAGTGGTCCAAACACATACAGGGAACACCCTCTCCAGAGAAATGTTGTTGTGTCGTTACACAAAACAGGTCTTACACAGATATAACCCTTTCGAGACAGGCGTGCTCTGTAGTAAAACGTTGGTCAACAATGAGTGAAACCCTTTTTTATTGAGTAAACAGATAGCAAAATACCAAAAAAAAGAACATATTGAGCATATGAGCTCATTATTGTGAACTATGTCTCTCGGACATAGATACCAGCATGATGACACACAAACCATGCGAGTGTGCAGAAAGAATACAGATCTTCATAATTTGGAGACACATATCCTACTCAGTCATCTTATCTACTCAGGTACCAGTTTCTCTCTAATTCTGGAGAATTGCACTCTCATCAAGATGTCTTCAGTCCGTTTTGGATTTGTCTCATTGCTTCTTGCGCAGGTGGAAATAAAGGACTCCGCTGACCAGGAGGAGCGGGACGCACAGCCACGCCAGGATGAAACAGTAGCCAAAGCGTCCTTCTTTAAAATCTCTGGATTCAGTAAAAATGTCCTTTCTGTGGAAGGTGAAGATGAGGCAAGCAGCAAAGGTTGTGAAACCTGCAAGAACAAAACATTTGTGTTAAACAATATATATGTATATATACATACATATATTGTGTGTGATTTTATCAAATAAGACTTCAAACACCTGCAAAAGCCTGGCAGAGGCCTGTGAAGTAGAAGAGTCGCCCCTTGGACATGGTGAACAGCTGAATGAGGAACACCAGGAAGGAGACGGAGGAGAAGACCAAAGAGAGGACCATGAGGGCCTGGATGGACTGCAGCCAGTCTGAGAGAGCAGGTTCGGAAAATGAGTGTTGGCCACTGACTCAAAAGCTAAACCACAAGTAGCGCTGTAAATATTCATGCAGAAATACACAAAAAAATATATTTCACAAGTTTACCATTTTCCCTGGTAGCAGCACACAACCAGGCGTTTGTGGCGTTATCATGGAAACAGTTATACCACAGGTCTGTGATTTCCAAATCATCCCAAACCCACCAGGACTGCAGGAGAAGATGACAACACAACACAGGACAAAACGTCATACAAAGATGTTGCATTTGTACAGGGATCAACAGTGACATCTACTGGCAGAAGACAGAACACACAAGTTAATTAAGTCCTACGTTTACGCGTCTCACCTTGTCCAGCGTGGCGATGTAGAGCATGGTCAAGGTGACCAGATGAAGCATGGTGAGGAATATGAGCAGGAAGCCCATGGCTTCTGGGTGATGAGGGACAAATCGGTTTTCCTGCATAAAATGAGTTTTGGTAAAAGTTGGTGGTCTCACGTAGGACCAAACAGTTCTGCAGTCAGAGGAACCCTGTAATGTGGTTCCACATGTCTGGCCTGAAGCAGTGGACTCTCACTGTCTGTCTCTCCCCTCACGGAAACTCTGAGCACTTTCCTCATGCAGCTCGACATCTGCAGACAATCTCTGCCCATGAATCGGCCACAAGCATGCCAGAGGTGGGGGCGAGGGGGGGTGGGTTCTGTCTCCAGAGCCAGTCTGGTCTATGAGGAATAGAGACTGTGTGACCAAGCATGCGGTCTGAAACTTTCTACCACCAGCCTGACAGTATTTGTACTATTTATGAATCGCCATGGCAACATAGTATGCAGAATTACTATCTGATCATTACACTTCAATATGAAGGTCCTACAAACTCATTCCCTTTTCTTATTATTTTCAAACGCTTTCCCCAACGATCCGCACCAAAGGAGGCTATTGACAAAAGGCGTTTATGTCATTATGAGGCAACAACTCTGAATAAGAGTAACAAATGACTCATTCACTCATTGATTCACTTTTTCCATCAGAGAAAATTTTGAGGACCCAAGAAGGAGAAGCAAAATTATTAAGTAAGACTTGTTGTTTTGCCGTTTCAGTTCCCCTAGATACAAGAAAATATCTTAAAAGAAACATGAATATGGTGTAATAATTAATAATTAGAAAGTGCACAAACTAAACTCCTTAGATTTTCTAATCGAAAGTTGAGTCAAAAATAAAAAAGTGGGGAAAGTGCCTTTCCCTGCCAGCTCTGTCCAGAGAAGGAAAACCTCTGTTATTGACTGAGGACATTTCAGAGAGGCATGGTTTTGATTACTACGTCTCCTTTATGTAACAGTCTGAGGGACAGACGGAAAGAAAGCCATGAACACAGAAATTGCACGCGCTGTTAAAGAAAATATACATATAAATGTTCAAACAATATCATTAAGGACTCTTTTAGTTAGCATCTGATCATATTTGGGTGTGGCCTGCATCTGATTAGGCTACAAAAACTGCATGAGAAAATCCATCATTTGTCCGTGTAAACATAACTACCAAGACGTTCTTACCTTTCAGCTTTGGTGTCTTCGAGTCGGTACTCTTCAGTGATCTTCTTGGAATTACTTTCCTTTTCCCAGTTCCCAGTATCCACTCTGTGCTCTCTCTGTCCTCACACACGTTTGAGCTCCAAAACCTTTTGATAGAGGGCTGCAGAAGAGGAATGTTGAGTCAGATTTAGGAGGAGTTCTTAACTTCCTCTAAAGTTCCCCCTGCCGTCGCCCTGAAAGTTGTGGTCCTCACCAACTCAACACACACACACAAACCCTTTCCACAATAGCTGTACTGCTGACGTACAATCTGCATTAAAGTCTGGAACAAAGTATGATCAGTCTCTGGCTAAACCCAGCGGTCGTATGCGAGCAAAGGACAATTAGAATCACAAATATTTAACACTTTGTCATAAGTGTAAGTGTTAGATTCATGCACTGACATTTGTTACATCATTTATTATTAAAACCACACGGTTGTGACAAAGCAGCAGATATACTCGTATTATTCATCCAGCTGTGCAGTTTGATGTTCAGACCACAGTGTTTCCAGAGTGAAGCGATTGAAAGGCAGGAAGTCTGATAAGCGCCCACTTTTGTCTGTACACGGGCAGGACATCCGAGACCACCCAAGACACAACGTAGCCTACAGGGATTAATCCCAAGTGTAAAGGGGAGGATACACTCTCCGAGCTGGTTATATTTTAATGCTGTTTGTTCTTCATATTGATTGCATTTAAGTATTCGGATCCTTTACTTTAGAAAAAGTAGCACAAGCAACACTGCAATAATCCCCACAACAAGTCCAGCATTAAAAATGTTACTCGAGTAAACAAATGCAGCTACGTGTGCCGTACTTGAAGCATCTAAATGTTGCAGGAAAAAGCTGCCACTGAGTGAAATAATATCATAAACAGGACATTATTAATGTGGTATAGATCAGTAAGAATATTTATTGTTGTAGTCATCAAGATGGTTCTTAATCTTTATGATCAGTTATACAGTATTTTGGGTTGTTTAATCTGTGGTAACATGAATGCCTATAAGTAAATAGATTATTGTGCCTATGGAGTGGAGTCTTACACAAAGCAATGTTTTTACTGAGGTTCCCTTGTGAATTTAAACTATTCACGATGATGACCATCGCACAAGACGCCTTCACTGACCCACGGAAAGCGCACGATCCCAGTGTACGGCCACCACCAAAACACTTTACCGGACATTGATTTAACTTCACCCCACATCACCCCTCATCACGTGTCCACTCTTTCTTTCGGGTTTTGCGGTGAAAAAGCGTAGTATTTATCCGCGTCCGAGTCGGTCCCGTTATTCCCGCGTGTCACCGCGGAGAGGCTCGGATGTTGACGTCACGAGCGGATCTACGTCACGGCTGTTTTTTCGGTGTTTATAGTTTATGTCGAACTTTTTTGAAGTTCCCCGAAAAAATAACTAATGGTGTTGAAGGGATTGTAAAATACTGTTTCCCATTGCAGGAAAAAAAAAGGATCAACCAGAGGTAACGTTAAGGTTATTTACCTGTACACTACCTATAAATAAGAACAATCCAACAACAAGGGCAGCAGTGACGTCATTCAAACTACTGGATTTGTATCTGCACAATAAGTCAGTCTCTTAAAAATGGTGTATTTCTTTCTCCAATAGCTCAATAGTATAGATTTTGAGAATACCATGCAGGTATTTTGTCTCATGCACTGAACACTCTCTACTTGAAATGATTTTCAAGTTATTCTCAAATTTGTGTTTGCCACCTTAGCTGTCCTATCTTGTCTTTGGTGGAGGTAAAGGTGGAGCAATCAAATCAACATTTTGGAAGCAATCACAAGGAATGTGGCTGAAGGGAGGGACCCAAGTCATGTTGTCAAAGCTGACGTGAAGTGACCCCAAACACACCCTAGTCCACACTTTCAGATGCTAAAGCGTGATGGACACGCGGACGGCCTGTTGGGGACTGAAGCAGAGGCATCGAGCAGCAATGCAAACCAGGTTAGAGGACAATTAGTGTCGTAAAAAGGGAATTATGTACGCACATTGACCTGTGGACAAAATATTTATGATGTGTTGTTCCACAGTTTCCCCTCAAGGGGGCGGCAGGTCACGGCCGGAGTCCATGGAAGAGACTCTTTGGACTCCACAAAGCCTCACAGAGCAAACATACGTTTATTCCTGTATGTCTGTTAATAGACAAAACTATTTCTGCCTCCCATACTAACAAACACGGAGAAGGGCACTGATGTCATCTATTTTGGATCGCTTGAATCAGGGGTGTCAATTGGGTTAAGGTCATTTTAGGTAGGGGGCCACATACTGTCCACTTTGACGTCACGCGGGTCGGACCAGTCAAATCATCGCCGATGGTCCAGATCAGCTGGGGTTGTACGCCATGATTTTATAACGGGCGGTGCTTCCTGGGGGAACGTTGTCGTCGATCACCCTGGTCTAACGCACGCGCTCACTCACAGACTTTTTAGGTATAGCAGCTACTTTTATAGAAATGCAATTTATGTCTTTTTTACTGCCAGTCATTTTTACATTTAGCAAAGTCATCTGGCGGGCCGCGCTGGACCCCCCCGCGGTATGTTTGACACCCCTGGACTAGTTGATTACTTCATTGACTGACAATGACAAGATGCATTGGTAATGCCAATGAGTATATGTGTATATGGAGCAGCTCCACACTGAGCAGGTTCAGGTCAATGGGGCCAGAGAGTGTTTTTATTATTTCCCCTTCTTTAAAATCCCTCCCCACAGCCTCACTCACTCATTGTCCCCCAGGTTCTTTGTCTGCAGAGGGAGGCGGAGTGGTAGAGCTGCTACAGCAGACTGAACAGGTGCAGATTTTACTACCACCGTTATTTGCATGTATTTTAATGGAAAGACACAACTTGAAATGTAGAAGACGGTAGAAGAAGAAGACTTGTTGGTGTCTCAGTTCTCGCATATCACCCCTTGGTCCTCTTGTTACTGAAAGTGCTTCAAAATGACCGACATGAGAGATTCTTCATGTTTGTGCTTAAAACATCTCAAGCAGCAGAGGCAGCACAGAGCAACCAGTCCTGCAGAAATTTGCAAGAGGGACTCACTGCTCAGATAAGATACTGTTTGGAAAAGGAGGAATCTGTGAGTACTTAGAAATGAAGTCCACCCTACCGGAGCAGCAGCAGCTCCTCACAGTGCAGCATCGAGCGGAGGTAGCTTCAGTAAGTGCCCCTGTACAAGTCTTTAGCAGTACGTGATAAGATTACACCTCGGATCCGTGCTGTCACCGAATTGGTATCAATATGTCGGACTTATTAATTGGAGGGAGAGTCAGAACATGTGTGAAGGCAACTCAATTGATTCCGAGCAATGAGGCCTGTAGAGATTTACAAGATAAGCTCAGTTTATAAACTCGGCCAATATGCCTTTTGTGCACAGAGTCAAACATAAGCGATTCACAATTTTTTTTATTATGAAGAACTTGACTATAATGGCTTTTGTTTTCTATTAAACCTTATTCTATCATTTCAGGTACATTACCTCAAGCAGCACCTGAATACTTTCCTTTATGACCCAGATAACCTCACAGCTGCCGTCTTCAAAAGAGAAAACTGTGCTCAGAATCAAAAGTAGGAGCTTCTTCTTCCGCACGCCATCCATGTTGCAGCGACACATTGTTTAGGGAAGGTTTATGTCTGTGTTTAAAGGTTTTGTCAGGAACATTTTGAAAACACAGTCAGCTGAAAGAGATGCAGACACAACTACAGCTGCGGCAGAACAGAGAAGAAGTTATTTCTTATTTATCTTACCATGTGGGAGAATCGGTAATTTATTAAAACTTCATATGGAAACGTAGAATAGCTTGCATTCATTGTGAGAGTGTTAGCTTAGCGTCCCTGCCTTTTGGAATTAGCTAAGGAAAATCTCTACATTTATTTGAATGTGCCAGCCTACATTCATCATGATGTGCGCGGTCAGTGTTTCCTTGTTCCACTGCTGGTGTCTGTACTTTGAACTGTAGGAGTATCCTGATGAGTGCGACACACGTGGCAGCTGTCCTTGTGCTGCCATGTTATCATACCACACACCACTTTTTCTCTTCTTTTTTGCCGTTTCAACTTCATGAGTATTGATATAGGGTTTCAGCGTTTCCAGTGTGTTAATATACTGACTGAGTGATCACAGTAACAAGGTGTCATGGAACATGTTAAACACAGAAGAAGAAGATGACGAACCATAGTGTAATTCCTGTGTTGATTCGCTCTATGGAGTTTTAGAAATACGTGTTGTTATAAAAAGTTGAAAAATTAATTGAATAAATTTCTTTAAGGAAAAAGATGTTACAATCAGTAGTACTGTGGAAATTGAGAAACAACCTCTTGAGAGAAGAAGGCTACTACAACAGCTAAATGAGGCACGAGCCACGCAGACACTGCGAGAACATGCAGACTCCACACAGAAATTCCCTCAGGACCTCAGACAGTTCCTGTTCCTGAGACCTACTGTCCATCTGAAACATGAATATATGCCACTTTGCCGCCCTCGGTATATGCGCTCCGATACACCTTGGCAGTTAGACGAACTCTTTTCTGACATCACGACTCTGAAGACAATGGTCCGTTGTCCACAGGTTTATTGACATGAGAAAGAGTAAAACTAAAACACACAAAAGACATAATAAATACAAATGAAGTGCATTTTCTTTGACCGCTACTTTATATATTTATGCTTATTTACTTTGTTATTTATTTAGTCATATGGACTTTAATGACAACCATAGCAGTGCAGTTACCAACCCGAATGACTCAATAGGCCATGTGCACAAAAATATCCAAACTAAACATTGTCACAAAAATAATCACCTGAGATGATAATGAACAATAAAACAAATCAATACGTACCAACGATGCTATCAAAAAGGTATAGGATGCATGCAGACTCAACTGGATTGAAAAGCTACCAATACAAACAGCAGTTCTGAGCCATATTCTTCATTGACTTCCTGGTTCCTGTCACCTGATAAATTACATCACATTTCCTGTTTTCAAAATAAAACATAGCATTGATTTAACGTTTGTGACAAAACAGCCACAGAAATGTCAAGTTGTAAATAAATGTACAATAAATGTACAAAACAATGGACAAGAAGGATTTCTCTTTCTATTCAAGTTTAATTTTTTAAGTCAACAGCTAAATTATTGACTTGAGTAACTTCTGAGTTAAACATGTTGCATATTCTTACTAAAAACAAACACACACGTTGTTACAGTTACAATCTATACTGCAAATTTATCTAAAGACATAAAAACAAGACACCACTGACATTTGCAATGCACCCATTTCACAACCCACACAAAACGTACCACAATGTCTATCTACCCTTTGAGGTCTATCTTTAGGTCTTTAGGGTTTTTTTTCATTGCAAAAATGAAAGCAGCACAGCAATTGTTTCTTCTAAACTGGCCATCTTCAACAATAATTTGACAGGTTGGCCTCTTGCTCTCTTGAACACCAGCAGACAATGGCAAAGTGCAGAGCACTGGCCACAACACACTGGTAGAACATCTCCAACAACAACAACATCCTCAAGAAAAAGAGTCGACTCTTCCCCTTCTTGTAAACAGAGTTGATGTTGGCCTTCCGGTTCAGTCTGTTGTCGATGGAGACACCCAAGTACTTGAACTCCTCCACTATGTCCACTTCCTCACCCAGAACTCTCAATGGTTGTGGAGACATCGTCTGAAGTCCACCACGCTCTCTCTTGTCTTGGCCACGTTCAAAGTTAGGTGATTTCTACCGGCCCACTCCACAAAGTCCTCCACTACGGCCCTGTACTCCTCCTCCGGTCCGTCCCTTATGCACCCGACCACTGCAGAGTCATCAGAGAACTTCTGCAGATGGCATAACGCAGCGTTGTACTGGAAGTCATTGGTGTAGGAGGTGAATAGGAAGGGCGACGGGACAGTTCCCTGTGGCCTGGTCACTTACTACCACATCAGACAGCACACGGCCCTGTCGGACACACTGCGGTCTGCCCGTGAGGTAGTCATTGATCCAGGAGATGGTGGACGCGTTAACCCCCACCCCCCACCAATTGCAAAGGGTCAAGTGATGATTTTAGCTGCGGCCGAAGGTGGACCAAGACCAGCCTCTCCAGCACCACATGGGATGTGAGGGCAACTGGTCGACAGTCATTGGATGTTGCTTCTACGCGTTAACGTGGCGGCCTGTGGCATATCTACCGACCCCCAAACGCTGTGATTCTGGAGTGACGCGAATTTGGGATGGTGCGGCGCGTTTGTCGCGTCGAATTTGGGGCACAGATGAAAACATTGGAAACACAAATCTGAAAAAAATTGAGGATAAATGAATAGTACAGTAAGCTGTACGATACATCCTCGTACCCATAATGCGACCTGGAAAAACCAAGCAGGATATGTGCCTTTTTTACAAAATCCCATCACTGTAGTACATTATAGGGTTATAGGATAATTGAATTGTTTAAGGACACACTACTATTAAATTTGAAGTAAGTAAGTGTTATTATGTGCATGATAGGTCTCCCTCAACTATAAAATTCCATAAATTAAACAAATAATTAATGCATTTTATGTTTTAATAAATTACACAACTCCGGGATAGGTTGCTATGGGATGTTATTTTTCTCTTTACAAATTTATACTTCATTACGTCTTCAATGAACGTCTCCCACATTGCTAAAAATGCCACCGGGAAGAATTCCAGTCATGTCTGTGATGTGCTGCACCAGTGCTTCCTACTAGTCAAAGTCCTGTGGTTGTCCCGCCAGTTTCCGAATAACCAAAGTTTTTTTTTCACCACTGTTGTATAAATGGGGTGTTTGGCCTGTTTCAGAAATTGGATTACAATAACTGATGTTTTGCATGTCTTTGTCATTAAATGTTGCAGCTTGTATAGAGATTCAGTGTAGTAGAAGAAGTATAAAGTGACATGAAAGGCAAAAACTCGCTTATCAGATGTAATTGGTTACTTTTCACCAGAACATGAACAACGAGTTCCTCATAGAGCTCTCCTCTAACTGCTGGACTCAAAGTGTACCCAATTGTAATGAATGAATTACTTCTTCTATCTTCTACCAGGGAAGCATGCCCCACAGTTCTTTGATAAACACTAACCACACATCCTTTGCATGGTTGTCTTACAAAAAAGGTTGCAGTGGCACTTACATTCTACAGTGCAATAATCAATGTGAAGCAGTTGACTTCAAATAATTTAAATCAAACCTGAGTGAGTGAGGTGCCATTTTGAACTGAATATCAGACAAATAATAAAAAAATAAAAATAAAACAAAACTACAACAGGAAGCAAAAATGGTATCTATGAAGATTTGACTATGTAATCAAAATCCTGGTTTTTAGACATTGCTCAGCAGAGCCTGTCCTGTTTCATCGAAAACACACAGAACAGGTTTTTCCTTTCCTACCATCTTTCCATAAAGCAATGATCCGATGCAAAGCGAACATCATGCATGACAATTCGAGGGAAAGAGACGGTCTGGATTGTCATCGCTGATACTACTGCGCCCAGCAAAAAAGGGGCCTTTGGGAAACCTGATTAGCAGATAAATATTTAATCCTGATCAATTAGCGCAGACAGTCGAAAATTCAAATGTAATGATTTGACGTTCTAATTCACTAATTATATATATATATTATACATACATATACACACACACAGCAATATTTGCTCTTTACATCCAAAACACACTAACTTGTACGAAGTTTATCATAATATTTTGGTGCCCACAGCAGACGGGTGACTTTTATGTCACTCCTGTAGCCGATGCTGGTGTCCCAGCAGTACTCCGGAGAGAGCACCCTGCTCGGCTTGTGGAGCCACATGTACTTGTTGAGGTGGCTCTCGTCGTGCCACAGGGCCTCCACATTGTTCCGTTTGTCCTCCAGGATGCCCTGGTAGCAGGCGTCGGTCAGCGCTTTCACACTCTTCCATGAGCCTCCAAAGATGGCAGCGTGATAGTAGAAATCGCCGGTTTCCATGTACGCCCGGGACTCTCGGTTGCGGTCGTAGGTAAACAGCGTCGCTGGAAGGTGGTAATAGTGGGCGTGGAGCAGAGCCACAGAATCTCCCAGGGCCTCCGAGCCGAATCTGCCGGTAAACACCTGATCCACATCGAAGCAAAAGACGTGCGTGCAGCGGTGGCGAATGTCCGACTCAATGACGTCCGATATGGTTTTCATTCGCATCATGGAGATGTCCTGCCACCTGGAGCTCCTCTCCACTTTGATGACTTTAAGGGTTCGCTGGGAAGCGAGCTCGACGTCTGGCACCTTCTCTGGCACGTCGGTGAATACGTAATATGTCACGGGCAAACCCGGCATAAAGTGCTGCTCTGAGGAGTTCAGGAAGGTCCCGAGGTAGGCATCCAGGTACCTTAGATGGGAGGGGAGACGAGGACAAGGTCATGTTCACATCCTGCATAGTTGACCCGGATTAATGGGGCCAAACAGCAGTTGGTGACAACAGTTTGTCCGTTATTACAGAAAACAAACCTGCCCACAGCAAACACTGTCAGAGCCACGGACGATCCTTCCATCTTGTGCTTCTGGTCATAAAGGTCAGGGTCAAACATTCCTTCCCAAATGACAGGCGCCTTCCAAGATGTACATGTCTGCACGTCACGTCTGGACCTGCAAAACAGGGTGGGATCGGATTCTTTCAAACCCACAGCTTCTACACACATTCCTTCACATGGCGTTTCCTTACAAGTCTTTACCGACACGCAAGTACATTAAAGTAAACAAAACACAGGGCGGGGAAACGGTTGAGAGAATTCACAGCTTAATTATATGGATTATGCCAGTGTATTGTTGTTATGTTTCAAGAATTCTGTGATAATATCAATCCTAGACTTAAACTTAAAAACTATTTCACGGATTGCTTTCTTTAACACTGAATATTCAGTACACTGTACCATCTTCAGTTATTATATTACACTATTGATCATTTACAAAAGACAGAAATCCAAAGGGGACAAGTCCAAAACCTAGAAACATTCACTGTTCTTTAGTATAGCATAAATGAACCGTTCAATAGTAACCAAGAAAGCTGCCGATTGTGTAGATTATATCTACTAAACATCAGTTTTTTTCCTGCCTCATGACAATCTGTGCAGACGAAATGTAACTTCTTTATGGACTTACCCGAGGTCCAAGCTGGCGTCCACGACGTTGTCAAGAATCAGCATCTCTGCACTTTTCAAAGTGCATTTGTCCATAGGTATGAAACCTATCAACGTTCTGGTACAAAAAAAACAAAATGATCGCCATTTCAATTTTGTTGCGTTGTCATTTATGCATAATAATGTATCGAGTGCATTATTGGGTTGGAATATGAATATAGACTCACCTCACAGATGGACATATTAAGTAGTAAACACTGAGCGGGATGAGAGGTATGCAGAGCACATATTTAAAAAAAACCTTCATCTTCTGAACAGGTCTACAGGAAGAAAAGAAAACCACAAAGCCAGATCAATTACGGAGGTGAAATATTCTACATGTTGATTTAAAAAAAAAAGAAGAAGTAAATACCCGATGGTAGAAAATCGCTGCATTGAACGAAATGTAGAAGAATCAGCAAGGAACCATTTTGATAATGAATTATTAGCACGCTAAAGCCGTTGACCACCCCTCACTTTTGTAGGACATTTTAAATACCAAATTATCAATATATAATCCGAGCTGTGTCTATTTACACATATATACTATAATGGCATTATTATAATTAGGTCGAACGAGTTGATTGTATGCTTTGTCTTTTACCGGAAGTACAATGCAACAATACTATTCTAACCTTCGCATAAAGCCTGCGGTTATTAGAAATGTGCCCAACAAATCATCCAACTCAAGTTAAAAAAGGGGAAATGCGTTCGAGCAATCAAACATATATTATCCACTGAACAAACATTTTCCATTACGCTCCTACTGGCAAAGTTCTGTAACTTACCCGAGTCGCCCGCAAACATACATCAGATGTCCAAAAAAAAAAGGGTAGTCAGGTGAAAATTCTCTATCTGAATGTTACTGCGTAACCGTAAAGAAAGAGGAAGACAAAAAGCAGTGTCTCGCTCCGCTCTTCACCGGGCCGCCGTGCAGGTGCGTCTCCCTGCGGCGTCTTTTTTGTTTAGTCTTTGAGGAAGTGTGGGAAAGGGGTTTCGCGCGTGTGCGTGTGTGTGTGTGTGTGAGGGTTTTAGTTCCGAGTGTAAAACGACCTCTCATCCTGTAAGACGTTCAAATTAGCGAGTAAAATGCTGAGTCATAAAAAAATGTTTCACACATTTTCCAATTTACCATCAAATGGAAATGTATTATGTATTTTCTTTGTTAGCTGCTATACTTTGATATACTGAGGGTCTGAAGTTCAGCTCTCCTGTTTTTCCAGTCCCCCGGCTGCCTGCTTTTGGTTTAAGGTACTTCAGGTCAGCAATGACACTCCTTTTGGGGGAAATCCTGGAGGGGTTCTACATCTTTGGGCATTGAAGAACTGAGAAGATAAAAGAGTAAATATTTCTACAACTAAAAGAGATCTGAAACTTGCAGAGCTTAACAATGCTTTGTGTGTGCATTTTTGTTTATGTTAAATTGTTATGAAAAAAGTAACACATAACTAACACTGTGAATGTACTGAAATATTGTTTACAAGTATCACAATAGGTGAAAAAAACTCCTCTATCCCCAAATTCACCTATTTGAGGGAACAGAAACTTTACGCCAGTTACTAACGAACCTGTTTTCAAGTTATGGGCAGACGGGAGCATTGGAAAGATTTCAGACTTGTATGATGCGAAACCCATACTCGTTTAAGTTTTAATGGAATCAAGCAAAAGTTTAGAATAGCCACAAAGATTTTTTTTAAAGCATCTTCAGATAAGAAGCTTCATAACAAAGACACAGAACTCTTTAACACTCCCGCCTCTAAATTCTTTAGAAAAGATTGCTCTAAATCTAAACTAATTTAAACTTCTCCAGTATAAATGGGTGATGAGAACACACATCACTCCAGAGTTACGACACCGCATGTACCCGAATACATGCTTGTGTTAAATGTGGTAAACATAAAGGTACAGTAGGTAAAACTCTGTCTTTTCCGGTGTTTCCCAGCAAATTGTACTCTGAACAATAGCAAAAAAAAAAGATGGTGATACTTTTGTGCTTGAAGCTAAATATGAAATTGCAGTGTCTTGGAAATCTGTTCACAGACCGAGCAAACAGCTTTTTAACTTATTCTGCAATACAATCACTTTCCAATCAAAGAACACGTAGCGCTTTTCACCATAACTGGTAACTATAGTCATTTATTATTAAAAAAAAACAGGTTGACAGTCAATATAGTTTATTTACAGTATATATCATGCTATGAAATAAAGGCAAATGTAAAATTATATAACAACATTGTGGAAGGTTGTAACAAATTAAGGCTTAAACCGATGTCGACATCATCATTGATAAAACAATGGGAAAATGAGTATTTAAAAAAATGTGAGGCTTCAGTTGCACATTATGGCTGAAAACCAAAAAGAGGGACCTCATTATTTAAGTTGCTGTGAAAGTAATACCTGTCTGTAACATTTCAGTCTTTGCACTGCATTTTATTTGCTCACTCAAAGTGGACCATGAAAAAGCACTGCTCTGATTCATTTTTATATTAACACAATAATAATCAATATTGGGACTAGTCTGACATGAATAAATCATCTTATTTTAGGGTTTTTTGACTTTTACAAAAAACATTTTCAATTTACTCCAAGCAGAAGCTCTCGCATTAATCTCATCAAATTCAAGTTTCAAGTTTGTGTAATTCTTTTGAACCTTTATACAATGTTTTTGTGTTTCAGGAGACCTTCAGCCCCGATTCAATTTGAACAAAAGAAACTGGGTATAAGAGCTTCTTTTTTTATAACATTGCAAAAGAAATGTAAAATAAAATATATCTATTCTTCTAATTGTCAGATGCATGTCATGGTTGCATTGGCGCTGCGATCAAAAATAATGTAATGAAATGTTATGGCCGTGTGATTGGTGAAACATTGCAAACACTGACTGAACAAGTGGCAAGATATACATGAATAAGGATTATATAAGAATTCTCCTTTATGCTCACTTGGCCACTCGGCTAACGGAAGACTCTTTTTGATGCAAATACATTTTTCTTTGCAAATACTTGGGGAAAGAAAGTAATGGAACATATAGAAAAAGACAATATTTTAAAGTAATCTTGTTAACACACAAAAAGCATAAAAACATTTTCCACGTACTGTAGCTGCCTGGAGCAATACTCTTTTTTTTCCACCTGTGTTGTCACATAGAAAAAGACATTTTTAGGCCTGTCATTTCCTGGCCTGAAAGTGCTGAGAAGTCATCTTTGGATGTCCCCGATAATACTATCTGGTCAGCAAGAAAGGAAAGGAGGATACACTCATTAAAAGAGCACCTCTTCACAAGAAACTTGTACAATCTGGCACATCTTTGGAAGCCGTTAATCGGTTCTAAGTCCGTGAGAGGAGCGCAGATATCACGGTGAACGTCTCTGATGGGAGGGCGAGAGACGGCGCGAGGAGCTCAGATGAGGGAGATGCGTATAGGGATGGCTGGAGACTCTGTCCTGTGCTGGGGGGAGTGATGGGACACCACGTGTTCCATCATTGTGTGTTTGGACATGTGTTTTATGAGGTACGTCTCCTGGAAGAACAAAAAACACAAAGACAAACACGTTGTTGACATCGCCGATGCAGTCTGCTCAAGATTTGAAAATGTCACCTTGGATTTTTTTTCTGAACTCACCGACGTGTAGGCCCGGCCGCACATGCTGCAGCAGTAGGCCTTGGCGTTTTTGATGGCGTGTGCGGACAGGTGGATCTGCAGCGAGGCAGAGTCCGAATAGGCACGGTAACAGTTGGAACATTTGAAGGGCTTGTCTTTGTTGTGCTGCCTTTGGTGGGACTTCAGCAAGGGAGAAAACAAAGTCAAACTCATTCAACCTCAGCAGGCGTCAGTTTTAAATGTGGGGGAGGGAGCCGGTTCAACAAGTGAGCAGACGAAGGTCACTTTGCAGTGTTTACCTGGAGATTAGACAGCTGGGTAAAAGCCTTTTCACATCCTGGGTGGAGGCATTTGTACGGCCGATCCCCTGTGTGGATTCTGAAAAGGGTGAGATGGTGCGAATATCGGGTTGAACTAGACCTACAAGCTACGACAGTCTCTTATCTGTGTAGCAACAAAAGACGGCAGAGCGGAGAGAAAACAAGGTTCATTGTGACAATGACTAGGGCCCATCTACAGCTGTGCTACACTGTGTACTGGTCCCCGACTGACTAGATTAGACAGAACCACTTGTAACAACAGCTCCTCCTTCAAGTTGTTACGCTACCTTAAACGTTCAGCTCAACAAAATTACAAAACAGGTTTGCAATTGTCTTATTACACAAATTAACTTTTTGGTAAAATGGCAGGAACCCGCCTATTGCAGCCAGCAATACAAGGTCTATTTCTTCAGTAGAAGAGTTTCTATCGACGGCGGCTACAGCAGCAATTAGTGACACGGAGGAACTGAAATCAAACCTTGTTCCTCTTGCCTCTTTACTTAACCACCAAACACAGAACAAATCACTTCAAATATCATACACAAAGGACTTATTTTCAGCTCATTAGGAAACGCAACATCGTGGCCGCTGCTAAGAAGCTGCTGAATATCCTTAAAGAAGGATCGGTGCTGCACATCAGATCACACCGGCAACAACCAGACAAAACAAATGTCACGGACAGGCTCGCGACGAGGTCAGACCTGGTGTGTTGCTGCAGATGGGACAGTTGGCGGAAACATTTCTCGCAGTAGGAGCAGCGGTAGGGCTTGATGCCCAGGTGTATGCGCAGGTGCTGGGCCAGGTAGGACGCGTTGGCGAAGGACTTGGTGCAGTGAGGACACTTGTGAGCCTTGGCCTCTGTGTGCGTTTTGGAGTGGATCTGCATGTCCGACTTGGAGAAGAACGTCAGCGGGCAAACTTTACACCTGCATCAAGAACGCGGACAGAGGACACGCGTAAAGGACACGCAGAGAGACTCGTTAGAAGGGACTCGTTCACTTCACGCTGAGCGGCAGCTTTCTTACATGTATTTACATCTATAGTTCGTAGTTACATTGCAGCTAAATATTGTATTAAAAACAAACCCTCAGCTCATAATAATATACTACATAATGCTACAATATAGTGTGCTGTGGTGAGTACTCACGCTAATGCGTGTATTTTTACATTAACCTGCATGAACTGACGTGGTTTTGGGGCTGTGTGCAGGATAAGCGGTTTGCAGATGGATGAATGGATATATATCACATATATATACTCTGCACTTTATCTGCTTTCTTCCACTTCTAGCTGATGCTAAACTGCATTTTGTTGTCTCGGTAACTGTAACTGTGCAATGACAATAAAGTTGAATCCAATCTAATCTAGTTACAAGGAGCACCGGTTTGAAATCAAAACATCTGCTTTTGGGTTTTTCTTGCATTTCTATTTGTCCAAGTAAAGAATACTTTTTTTTCCCCTCTCCGAAGGCTCTGATTTGAAAACATCGAGCCCCAGTTGATACTTAGTTACACGTAGAGGATGTGAGGACAAGAGACGTCATGCCGAGTTTGACACCTTCGGTTGGCATGACGTGGTGCCTTTGCTTATTAGATACCATATTTTCCGGGCTTTAAGGCGCACTTAAAAGCCTTTAATTTTCTCAAAAAAACGACAGTGCGCCTTATAATTCGGAGCGCTTTATATATGTGGATCAATTGGTCAATCGGTTGATCCATACTGGTCGTACACGGCGCTCAAGGCGCTCTGCCAAACATGCCAAAGCTCGGCCTACGACGGCGAGATGCTGAGCGGGCGAGATGCTGAGCGGGCGCTCAAGCGCGTGACATATGGAGCTTGTTTCCAGAGGTGTCAAGTAACCAAAACTTCGTTACTTGACACCTCTGGAAACAAGCTCCATATCTCACGCGCTTGAGCGCCAATTAACCAATTGTTCCATATATATACTTAAGTATACTTAAGTAGACATTTTGGGTATCTATACAGTATTTATTTTTCAGATTGACTTTTTTCTTCTACTCCTTACATTTTAAAAACAGCCTCGTTTACTCGAACGGCTTGTCGCAGTTCAACAACACAAACACAAAACCCTACCCAGATAATGCGGACAGAGTGCACTTGATTGTGGTTGGATGAGAAGTATAAACATTTAGCATCCAGACACCCGATGTAACGTTTGATGAGTATCTTCATTACCGTGGGTTTGTCCTAAATGTTTTATTGAGAGTCCGGCACGACACAGTGACTTGCAAGTAGTGCAGCGTTAAATAAAGTGATGTGTGTCTTAATGCGGCTTTGGAAATGAACACAACGGGATTCTGTATTTGCTCATGAAGACTGAAAATACTGGTTATTTGTTTTGATAACCGACCGCTGCCAGTTCAGTGTTTCCCATCATTATAAACAGGGGTGTGTGTCCGTCCTGTGACTCGTGTCAATGGAAAATGGGTTGTGGTTTTATCTGTTTAAGTCAGATACATTTGTTGTGTTGGTGTCGTGTCTCTGAGTATCTCCATGTTTCCACCATCCCAACGGCAGGTCACGTGATCTTCAGGCGCCTTCTGATCACATTGTAACGGAATGACGTGTTGTGTGAGCGAGGTTACACATTAAGGGTTTGTTCTTAATGGAATTTCTTCCCTTACATTACTTTTATACTTTAAGTAGTTTTGAAACCAGTACTTATACTTTTACTTAAGTAAAAAGCTTGAGTTGATACTTCTACAGAAGTCTTTTTAAACCCTAGTATCTGTACTTCTACTTGAGTAATGAATGTGAAGACTTTTGACACCTCTGCTTGTTTCAGGGCGCGTCGGAGAAACAAAGCTGTCGTTCTTGCCGAGCATTTGATGAGATTAAAGAGCGAGAGACGGTGCCCTTTTCTTTACAGCAGCTGAACCATCTTCACGGGGAAAATAAGTTATTCTATAAGGAGCCCTTGGCAGGCGGCGTGGCTGGAGAGCGCCGAAGATTTAAGGCGTGGATGGCGAGGGGGGCGGCGGGAGCGGACGCACCACGCAGCATCGATCGGACCCTGAAAGCACCGTCTCCACCTCCCCACATCCCCCCCCCATCCACCCGCCCCGACGTCAAACGTTTGACTTCAGTATCTTATGCGCCTTATAATCCGGTGCGCCCTATATATGAAAAATGTTCTAAAATAGGTCATTCATTGAAGGTGCCCCTATACGGTATAATACGGTATATTTTCCCCACACTATTTTATTTTGTTCATTGCCATTCAAGGTTGTATGTATGTATTTATATATTCACCAGTGTCTTGTGTCATTTTACCCTACTTAAGGGATAATGTCCTATAATCATTAATAGTATTATTTCTTCCTTTTTAAGGAGACTTGTAAGGATCTGAAAACAGTGTTTGTGGGCCACGCGTGCGATCTACGTGTCCTCTCTTGCCTGTAGGTCTTGGCTGGCTTCCCAGTGATGGTGACGCAGGACTGGTCGTTGCCTGAAGCCAGGATCGGGTAGGGCACCACCAAAAGAGACGACCCGTTTTCAGCTTTGATCCTCTTGCGCCCCCGTTCCTCCTTCGGAGGGGGGCCGAGAAGTCCCACGAGACCGCCGTTGTTCTTCCCGAGCTCCATGCCGTGGCCGCAGGCTAAGCCTGAGATGAGGTGTTGGGTGGGGGCTCCGCCCAGCCGGCCGTGGTTGCTCAGGGAAGGTGTGGTGGGGGTGACAATCTCTGAAGTGTTGAGGTTGCCTGTTCGGGAGGCAAGCGCCACACCTGTTGTTTGCAGAAGTAAAGCGAGGTAGTCACGCAAAGTGGAGCAACATGGTCAAAAGATATACAATGGAGGTAGTTAGTGAGGAGATGGTAATATGACTCTCTCTTGTGTACTTGAGCATATTTAGTCTACCTCCTACATATGCATAGCACACAAGCGTCATTTCACAACATTCTCTCCAGAGCAAAAGACAAATGAAACCGGAGAAGGTCACAAGGGGTTTTCGCTCCCTTGCTTTTACAACAAAGGGGGGAGTGCCAACCGGACAAACTGCTACCTGAGACGTGGTTCGTCCTTGAGGGATGGTCTATAAGTTGACGTAGATGCCAGTCTTCCCATAATCCTCTGGCTTTCATAGCGGCCTTGTCGTCCAGATTCAAGTTTACGTCCCCCAGAATACGACCTGGTAAAGAAATTGCAGGAAGGTTCTCATTAAAGAAGCACATACATTGTTCATCCTCCTAAGCCTAAGGCAACATATTACAGCTGGTACGAACACACAGACATTTTATTCACTTTCATACAGTATTATCCAACCACAAGATACTGAGTCAATTGTGGTCATAATTTCCACTTGGATTTATAAATGTTTGCGTAAGAGTGATCATTATTATTGATTATATGATAATACACAATACTCCGGATTGGAGAATTGTGTTGAATCACCAAAATTAAAAGCAGACCCAAAACGGGTAATATAGGAGAAGTAGGCTAAAAGAACATAGTACACTGGTGAATATATAAATATACCTCTCATCCACAACATCTCAAAGGTGTTTTAAATGCATTACATTTATCTGAAAGCTTTATTCTGCAAAAACCACTAAATCTGGGATTTTTAATTTGAATGTAGGTGATAAACTAAAAGGATGATGAGGTCCTTCATGCACTTAGACAACTGTTCTCTCGTGCACTAAATCATTTATTTAAAAGCCCTCTTGGATCAGCTGTCAACACATTGTCACACAAAGTCGATTATTTAAGAGATACGTGGTTCTTACATTGACCTTAATGCATTCATAATAATAATAAAAAAACCGCCTATGAACATTCATTCTACTGATAACACTTACATATTTGTAGTGGGTTTCGAAAGCAGAACCTTTAGCTATAGTGGAGTATTTTAACAATGTTGCATTCGTACCTTTACTTAAGCAAAGGATCTGATTCCTCCACCCCTGGTAGAGGGTGAGGACGGGGAGACAGGTGACGAGTACCTGTGACCGAGCTGGAGGCGGGGCGGGCGTGGAGGGCGATGTCGGGCGGAGACGGACTGTGGCTGTGCAGAACCTGCATCTGATGCGTTTTGGACATGGCGTGCTGGCCGCCGTCCGCCTGGATCGGGGGAGCCAGCAGGGGCTGTTGGGAGGGCGCGGAGGCGGCGGGCAGGTGCTGCGGTCGGATCTTCTCTGCCATCAGCTGCTCCTTGATTTTATTGATCAAGACTAGGTTATCCAGCTGACAGCCAGGAACCAGCATTTGTGACAAGAGAACAGCGATCAGTTCAGTCAGGGTCACTTCACGAGGCGATGGTTCCCCCCAGAGGCCGACACGTGGCATTGCACCCAAACACCGTATCGTAGCAGTGGATCCCAAACTTGTTTGTCTTAAGCCCAAATAAAAGGAAGTAATGTTTGCTACCAACTTTAAGGACTCTTGTTTGGCTACTATACTTTATACTTTATACAATTTTCTGTGTAAGATAGTTTATAAAATGTTTGATTAAATGTATTTAATCATCTGGAGACCCCTCAAATGAACCTTTGAGGAGACCTGCACCCCGGTTTGGGAACAACTGCTTTGTTGTTTGACATTTTGACAAATATGCTTATATAGTGTTTTATGGAAATTTCGATGAGACAGTCCGGCTTTCCGACAGTAGAAATCTTAAAAGATCTGCAATATTTTCATGTATCTCTCTGCTAAATAATAGTATATCCTAAAATGTCCAGCTATTTCTTTCAATGGACAACTATTAAACGTTAGAAAACAACAACAATTTCCGGAAGGTGAGTCCTCAGAGTCGTCCGTAGAGACTATAGAGGCTTAAAGAGAGGACAGCACAATCGAGATCTGGGAGAGGCTTATGTAACAAAACATAATCACACACAAGTAACACGCGCCTTAAATTACTGGAGGATAATTGTCTGAAGTAAAGGTATACAACTGCATAGCAGCTCAAATTAAACAATAGAGCTCATCTATGTATCAAGTGCAAAAAAGAAAAAAATATATGTGTCTTAAATAGAAAAGATTTTAAAAGCAGTTTATACCAATCTGAATACCTCTAGACCCAAAGCTTTTCATTCTAGGCTGTATCCACCTGTTCATAACATTAGAGGGAGAACATTATTTCTTAGAAATAGGAAGAGTTATTGGTCTATCACGGAAAAAAGGCCGGTGGGCAAAGGGATTTTTGAATTATCTACGACTCCCTTGGAAGAAAGCTCATATACTATCAGGGTTGATGAATAACTCCTTCACAACAGCCCCGGTCCGCCCATATACAGCATATTACATAGAGGACAGACGTCTTACTATTACTGAACAAGTCACAAATCCACAACATGTTTTATCTTTAATCTTTATATTAAGATGGACACAAAGTGTAAAAGCGTTTTGTTGTGGTCCCTATACCTTTATCTCTGCTATTAACATCAATGGAGCAACAGCAAACATTTAGACAGAACATGTTCAGGACACAACGATCTTTGGTGCTACAGGGAAACGTGCGCTCCGATGGGGGAGTCACTCACCTGGCCCGGCATGGCAGGAGGCGGAGGCCAAAAATAGGGATTGTTGAAGCGCGATTCAGCCATCCTGAAATAAATAGATCATAAACAAGATCAGGGCAGATTCTCTGTCTCTCTGGGTAACAAACGGATGATTGACATTTTTGCACTTCTTAAACGCAGCGTTTGAGTGGTGACTCGAGTGGATGAGTGTCTTTTCGCTGAATAAACGCTGAATTTAAAGAATTCAGCATTTATTTACGTACAAAAAAGGAAGATGTTGAACTGTGACTCCTCCTGCCACCCCCTTCATCTTCTTTATTCTGGGATGGGAACCTCTGTTGTAAGATATTCCTAAACATCTTCTGTTCAGTGCACCGGAGCAGCGATTAAAACTTGTGACGTGAGCTGCCCTTTCCCTCTATCCTTTAAAAAAAAGGGGTGAATGTTTTTACCCCGGAAATTTGAGAGACACTTATCCCCAACGGGGGGAATGTGTGTGTTTTCTAAGAAGTTCTGTATTAGCTCTGGACTTTTATGCTCCATCGGATCAGGATCTTTTTCTGTTGTCGAAAAAGGCAGTTTTTAAGTGAGTGATGCAGCTTTTTCTTGGAATTCCCAACCACACGACTTTGAGATGGTTACGCTGCCTGAGAGAAAGACTCCCACGTGGTCGCTGCTGCTTATCAGGGACCTCTCCCAAAACGGTTATCAGAGAAAACAGAAACTTTGAAAAGGACGTATCTCAGATCGTGATCACTCACTGTCTGTCTCCACCTCAACCCGGGAGGGGGGGGGGGGGGGGGGCGACAGTTTAAGAGCCTGATGGGAAACAGACCCCGAAAGACGTAGCTGAGAGCTGCAGAACATGGAATAACTCAAATGAAGAAGCTGCACAGAAACCCCACTGATTTGTAAGTGACATGGGAATCTCTCTTTGCTCTTTTTTTTAATGGCAAATTAAGAGCATGAAATATTCTATTTCAAATTCTATCGGGTGTGTCAGGCCGAATGGACGTAAACCTCATTTTCTTTGACAGCGGGAGAGAGAGGTGCTTGCTGCTGGAGTTGTGATCTAAAGGCTTTCCTTTCCGTAGCTCGTGTGAAGTTTCTCTTTTAGAAGCCTTTGCATTGCGTGCTTTGGCACATTGGGCCATTCCTAAGTCTGCTTGGCTTAGCAGAGGCACAACACAGTCCATCTCTGGGAGCCAAGAGAAACAAAAACGATACGTTCGGGGGTACGAGCGTACAGCAAACCCCACAAAATATTTCTGTAATGATGCCGGTGGGGATCAGTTTCACTTCCTGGAGGCTTTCTGCCTCCAGAAAGGAGGCTCAGGAGTTTGACGGCTGCTGGGCTTCTCTTTCTAAAAAAGACATCAACCACAAACAGGTCCAGACTGAATTTAGTGCTACTTCCACCAGAAGATTTGAGATGTTTGCATGAATGCATTTGAGTATCGATGGGGCTTAACTATTTATGCCTTCATGTAACCGGGTTTGATGTTTTTCGAGCAGGTGGGAAAAAGATGGGGAAACTTTCTTGCTTTCGTGCTTTAGAGAGGACCGAAATATAATGTGAAATGAATTAATACATCCAAGAAGGGCAGCGAATATTAGATATATCTAATGTTGATCGATCTGCAGAGTAGTTTTGTTTTGGTAAAGAAGTGAAAGATGGGTAAGATAATTCTCACGGTCACAAGGTGAGGTACTCAAATGTTTTTGTTTTGTTTGACCAGTCCAAAACCAAACAGTGTTTAGTTTATTGTACAAGTGTACACAGAAAAACATCACATTTTCACATTCAAGAAGCTGGAACAGTGATTGCTGCTGAATTCCCGCTCTTAACAGTTAAAGATGGTTTTCTATGGATTGGCTTCTACTGCATATTGAACAACTACATCAACATGTTGGTCCCTTCGTTTTTTTATAATCGAAAAAGTAATTCATATGTTGCACTGTGAAATATAAGCACTTTCTGAGAAGTCATCCTTTCTAAAAAAAAAATGGTTTGCAATATGTAACCGATGTTTGGTAATTCGTGGTTTTAAAGATAAATTAAGCCATTCAGGAAAACTGCTGACAGGTTGTAAAAGCCTTCTCGGGACCAAAGTCCATCCACTTAGTGGACTAATTGTGACCCGACGGCTTCAAAGCCTTAATGAATGACTTCTTGACATGAGACATGATGGCCTTTTATTAAGTGTAAAATCCATGACCATGTATTAATGGACGATAAGCTGCATTAATACCACACTGTAGATACATATTAGAGAGAGACAACTCAAAATATCCTATTAATGGTGTGTAACTAATTTATAAAGCATGGGTCAATCACTTGTTGATATTAAAACCACTTGTTAAAATGCATAAACCCCTAAAGCTTCATGCTGGTCATTCAATAATAAATTAGCATCCTTTCATGAATAGAGGAACCTATATATGTGCTCTTCAGATGTTCAGGTGTTACAGCCAGAAAACTGAAATCCAGCTGCAGAGCCACAAAACACGAGAACGGATCATCAGCCTGCTGTTCGATCCCCTCCAGAGGGAAATACAAGTCCATCCCCCAAAAAACTCCACTTAGGGTTAACTTTTTGGTCCTTTTTATTTTTTGGAGGTTTTTTTTTATTCATGTAGAATTACTCCTCTGATGAAAAGCAAGCGGAACGTACAACGTTTAAAAGGATAAAAGGCGCAGCAGCTGCAAAGCGAAGCAGCATCTCCTCCGGAGAGAAGCGCCTCTCCCCCATTCTCACACAGTTTATTAAAAAATGTCAGACAAAAGGAAAACAAAAATGGCAGCCCTGTCTTATTTTTATAAAGCACAGGACGCCATATTCTGCAGATCCGAATATTATAAGGGGGGCAGGAGGAGGAGGAGGAGGAAGAGGAGGGGGGGTAATTCTCCCGACGCGATGTGGCCTATTTGCATTAAGCGTCCGAATGATTGTTTGCTTTGATTCGGGTTTGAATAACCCGGCTGGAGGAAGAAGAAAAAAAAAAAAAAAGAAAGAAGCCCTCACACTTCCTACAACAATCATCATGCCCCTCGCTGGATTCTCTGCAGCTGCTGATCCGTAAGAAGCAGAAGAGAAAACGTGGATGTAAATAGTGGCGCGTAGTGAAAGCCTTCTTCTCCCCCCCACGACAGAAGAAAAGAAATCAGCCTCTATCGTCTCCGCGATGCAAAGGCTCCTTTCCCCCTTTTTTTTTTTTTTTTTTTCAAATGCAACTTTTGCATGACTTAAAACGCAAAACGGTGCCGAGGCGACGCGAGCAACAGAGCTCGCGGGAAGAGGAGCGGAGAATAGACGCGGATCGTTCGCACCGGAGCGGCCAACGTACCTGAGAGCAGCGAGGGAAGCGATATTTTATAAAGGATTAGACGCTTCTTTCTGCTCGCCGTCGGTCGGACTTCAAACCTTCCGGGTCGCCTGCTGTTCACTTCTGGGTGCTGCAGGCGTCTCAGCACAAGGAGCTGGAGCGCATTTTGCAGCCTATTTTGGACTCTTTTTACTGATTTCGCAGATGGATGCATATGAAACCCCTTGGTGCGCGTGAAGGTCGTCGTTAAAGTGGTCATCGTGCACGGCGGCGGCGGTTGTTGGTGTTAAAGATGGAATTGTACGTGCGAGGCAGACTTTCTCCAATGTGCATTCTCACTAACGACAGTCTAATAAAGCTGTGCACTAAAGACAGAGCTGCAGTGATTTGAGTCCAGAATGTGAATCATGTGAGACCTTTGTCTCTCTGTCTGTGTGTCTGTCTGTGTGTCTGTCTGTCCCAGGCCTTGCATGTCATGTACAGTAAAATGTAAACGTGTAATCCGCTCAGCAGCAGCATGACAGGCTGCTAATATGCTCTGTGCTTAGCTCAGCAGGAGATGGCACTGCTGCCACAGACCAGAATCTGTCAGCTGCTGGTGATCATATGATCATGTTGGTTGAGCAAACACCTTTCATGTGAAATGAGACATCAGCGAGTGCACAGCGCTCAGGTGGAACAACCCGTCAAAAACGAATTATTACACCAGGAACTTTCACATTTCAAGACAGAAGCTGAGGTTTCAGTGGCTCGAATTTTATTGTAGATGTAATTTAGCATAAGTAAGGATTTTCAAATGATTATAAATCATTTATCAAAGGTTAACATGTTTATTGGAGATGCACGTTGACATCACGTGAACTCTTCAAAATGGTAAGAATTTGAATTATCGAAAACATATTCAATAGAAACCAAAAGTGTTCTTTTTTTGTTCTCATTTCCTTTAATTGGGGGAACGTAAGCATAAAACAAACCACGTTAGGACATTTTATGACTGTTATAACCGGCACACGTGGCTTCTTTCTTGCCTGCACCCTCTTTACACGGGGCGGTGAACATACAAAGTCACACATACACGCATTCAAATCTGTGTTTATTCATTCATAGTAGATGCAAACCCCACTGGACTCCGTCTCCTATCTCTGACTGAGGATTAAAAAAAAGGACAAAAGTAAGCCTCGCTTCATTTTTAATGACAGTTCACAAAACATTTTTATGTACGGATGAAAACTAAAATTTGTTTCCTGTTTTGATCACTAAAAAAGAGAAAGATCATTTTTTTCTATGAGCTAAATCTGATTACTTTGCAAAACCCGTGTTTCCTGCTGCACATCTTTTTTATCAAACATGACCATAAAATGTGCTTTGCAAACCGTTTTGTATCAAGATAAAGCAAGATAAGGCACATGTATTTGCATCCCCCATTTCAACAAGGCAATTCCAACATAAAACCATTAAAAACATCAGTGGGACAAAAATGACATCTGAAATCAATTCAGTAAAAACAGACATTAAAACAACAGACAAGAATAAACAGTTGCAGTGCAGTTAATTAAATAAACAGTAAAAAAGCATCCGCCGCATTGATGAATCTGGTTCAATTAAAGGCAGCAGCAAACAGAGACGTCTTCATACGTCTTTAATGTGAAGCTGCTGAGAGTCTCAGCTGACCTGCACTTTTCTGGTCTGAGTTTGTTCCAGATGTGTGAAGCAGAAAAACAGAACGCTGCTCCTACGTGTTCGGTTCTGATTCTGGGAACAGGAAGGAGACTCGTCCTGAGGGGCTCGCGATGCATCGTGAGGCCCTAAACCATTCAGTGCTTCACAGACCATACAGCAGGATTTTAAAGTCACGTCTTTGTTGGACAGGAAGCCAGTGCAAAGACCTCAGAACTGGAGTCATGTGATTGCACGTTGTTGGTCTTACTGAGGACTGGAGCTGTTTAGACTCCTCTTGTCTCTTGTCCTTGGCAGTGGGAGCAGCCGGGTGACGCAGGAAATAAAATGGTTTAGATGTAAACAAACTCAACCCTGACTTGTTCAGGCAAACTCTATCTGCCTTTAAAAAGATATCTGCGATCCCAGAATAGAAATTGTTAAAAGAAAATGTAGTGAATGGTCGGTACATACAGCTGACAGCCGTTAGTTCAGTGCAAACAGCCTGCTGGGAACACTATGATCCTCTTTTTCTATGAAGGCAGTCTCATGAGCAGGTCCTTAGAACGATTCTAATCAAATTACACAAGCTTCCTCAGCGAGTTTAGATGTTACAGACTGAGCATTCTTACTATTGCTCCTGCTTATTGGCTTGATAGTTGAGTTTCAGTTAACTAATAATTCCAATAGGACCTGAGGTTAAAATAAAGGATTTAAAAACACACATGAATCCCCTTGTATACATACTCTAGTCCGATGGAGGTGGGGGTAACACCGCGATGTTTGTACGTCCCCATTGAAAGAGAACACGTCTTTTGTCCAGTTCATCCCTCACGGGTGTCGACACATTTGTTTGAACACGCGCTGACACACACACACACACTTTGCATCTCTCAATGTTAGTTGTTTGAAGGGTTTCCTTGTCTGCACAAACGGTGCCACACCCTGTGAGACCTGAGAGACTATGTTCCCTCACCTCCGCACAGGCCAGGTGCAGCAGGGAGCACGGGAGGGGGGGAGGAGGAGGAGCAGGAGGTCATTATCCCCATGAGGGGCGGAGCAGAAGGGGGAGGTGAAGAGAGAACGGATGAAACATTTGAAGCTCCTGCTGACATGCTGCTCTGACGGCTCCTGAGAGTCCAGGTAAGAACTAATGAATCCCACAGCAGCTTTTGGATGTGGATGCATCGATTTCTGTAACAGAGTTTGAGTTTTCATACTGTCACCGTATGATGCAAGATAATGTGGCACTCACAGGTAGAACCAGTCCGTTCAGTGCCACGGCCAGGACATGTTTACGGTCCGTCTGTGAATGCGTGTGCTCACATTACTGGGGAGTATCATGACATTTGTTTATTCATCGGCTGGTTTTCTTTTGACAATCTTGAGAGCTGAACCCAATCGTAAAGGTTCCCGACTTTTGTAAACAGCCGTCTGGTCCAGTGTTCACAACGAATGTTGACAAGAAAAAATATTGATCTGCTGCCACGGGGCAGAAAGAATCGGTCAGTTCGTCACAAGCCTGACTCGAGCAGTTTGGAAGGTGATAGGAGGCAGACATGAAGAACTTTGTTTTGTTTACAAAAAAAGGCCCTGTTACACGTGTAACCTAACATATATACCAACAAGAGACCAACAGTTAAGTTAAACGAATACAACTTGAGTCACTACACGCTGACGTTGGCTTCCCTGCCACAGTCACATCGGATTATATAGAGCCTTCCATCGAGAGGATCTAATCCATCTCATGATTGCAGGCGATAACCATTCCTCCCCGAGATAGTCAGGAGACAAAAGCTGGAGCTTACTGCACCCACTTAGGGAACAAACACCTTTAGAGAGTTTACAATTCACTACGTGCTTACAATAATGCGTAACAGATCACAATTGACCTACACACATACCTAAACATAAAGGACTACCCCACCCGTACTTGGTCTGACCCCATAACCTCACTGCTGACGTCATCCAGTGTTCAAATGGAGGAAAAGGTTAGGCCCCTCCCCCTGTAGCCACTGGACACATGGTGGGTGTGTGAGTAACGAGTGAAGCGAATGATTAACTGATCGAGTGCAGAACAGATTCAATGAAGATTAATTCACTTAATGCCATGTTTCATTTTAATGGACGTTCATATGATCTGAGTTGTGAAATACAAAACAAGAAACGATAGTAAGTGTCTGCAGTAACACAACTGGAGGGAGCTGTGGCTCAACAAACAATTGATTTGTAAATCTGTATATATATGTATATATGTTTCCTTCTTTTTGTTGGTGGGGGTTTATCTGACAGCAGACCTACTTGACATTCCTGAGTTCTTCCAGCCCGAGGCAAAAAAGAAAACCAGTTTTTCGGTACTCTTGTGAGTGTGTGTGTGTGTGTGTGTTTTGTTACAGCCATGGATGGCGTGTTGGAAGAAGCAGCAGTGTTGTGCGTGTGCAAAGTGGCCTCCAGTCTCCTCTTCCTGCCCTCGCTGGCCGCCTCATACAGTCCCGTCAGCTTCTGCTGCTGCTGCCTGCTGGTCTTCACCGACTTCCTGGTCGCAGGTGAGAATCCGCACGTGACCAGGTGAACTGGTTTCAGAAGCTCCCAACAAAAACCTTTTGAAATATCTCTAAAACAGGATTTTATTTTAGACAATAATACGTTTTTACACATTTTAATTTATACCTTTTCTTTGTTTCTCAAGTGTGAGGATTTGCTATTTTTTTGTCCTAGGTGATTGTGGGCAAAACATCTTCAGATATATTTGAGATACACGCAACTTAAAACCTCTTTGAGCCGCTCCACCAATATCCCCCTGCGCCTGGTCAGGAGTCACTTCTCCAAATCAAATCACTTCGACGTCATCTTTTTCTCCTCCTCACAGCTTTTTTGAGCTTCCTTTGCATCTCTGATTCCTGGCCGACCGAGCTGACTCCAGCGGTCGACGTCGTCTCCCTCCGCTTCCTGATCTTTCTCAGCCACACGTACGGTGCGGTGTTGCTCCTCACCACGCCTCTGATCGCACTGGAGACTCTGACCGCACTGCTGCGGCCTCGCTGGGGCTCCGGCGGACACCTCTGCTGCGTTGGGGCGGAAGCCGCGGAAGGCGAGGACGGCGAAGACGCCACCGACAAAGAAAAGGGGTCGTCCCGTCACGCCGTTGGCTACCTCTGCTGCCTGTCTGTGTGGGTCATCGTCGCCCTCGATGTGAGGTGGCGATGGAAGCGGGAGGAGACCTGGGCCACCGCCTGCTTGCACACGACAAACTCCCTCATCAGGTGCTTGCCCAACCTGTTCAGCCCCACGTCCGGCGCCGTGAATCCCTGCTGGGGCATGGGCTTCCTCTCCCTCCTCCTGCTCCTCCTCACAGCGAGCACCGGTCTGCGCCGTCGACCGGGGGACCCTGCACATACGGCAAGGACCCACGAAGACAAACGGGGGGGCAACAGCGACGGTTGCTGGCGAGGCCTCGCTCCGGCGCTTCCCGGGCCCTCGGAGCCCGTGGAGTCGGAGGCAGCGCGTCGTGTTGACCCTGGGAAAACAGAGAGCAGCTGCGCGGTTCACAGAGCGTATTCCTGGAGCGGCGCGCAGATGTCGGCGCATCACCATGGAGCCTTTGTTCTCGTCTCCCCTGCATGTTTGTGTGCGGAGAGGCGAGGGCAGGAGCACGAACGGACCAAGAAGCGTCCACCTCCGACGCTCGTCGCGGAGGACGTGGACGCACAGAACGGGAGCCAAAGTGGGTGGCGGCAGGGCGGGTTTCCCTGCCAGGGGGTGGATGTATTGATGGGGACCGTGGCTGTGCTCTCCATCTTTGTGCTGCCCCTGAACCTCAGCGTGAACATTCTTCTGATCAGGACTATAGAGACTCTGCTGGTGCTGTGTGTTAAATCTTTAGTTTCACCCGCCGCAAACACAAGCGATGCGTGCAGCCCTCACGATGAGACGCTTGTATAAAAACCAGACCGGTTGAGAGGCAAAAGTCGCAGCTGATTGGAGGCCAAATGCAACAGGATCACAGGATTGATACTGCATTGGTGTAGATGGCACGTCTACCTGTCAACACTAGAGCAAATGAGCCTTTTTGAGCAGCTATTCACATGCGGGGAATAACATGTGGAAACCGCTGAAAGGTGCAGAGGAGGCACGTTGAGGCGTGCTTGGTAAGACCCCAAATTAGACCGGAAAAGGCGGCTGGTAGGCCTTTTTTTTTTTTTAGCATCAAGACCTGCAGCAATTTGTCACTGAGTGAACGAGTGTGCTCATGCCGCATTACAGAAACTCTACATGAACTAATACAAATAAACACTGAGCTGTTTTAGTTACTAGTTAGTTTATTATGTTAACAGTTACACCAAAGATACATCTCTCCTCTTAACCTTGCGTATCGTTTTATTTTAGTACCAATTTCAGCGCTGAAATGGGTCAAACCATCTTATATTGCGTAAAAATGTGAAATAATCACCCTAAAGTCTCAAATGTATCCCAGGATGTTTTTTAGGAGGCCAAACCTGATGAGAAGTAGTAAATGTTGAGAACCTAATGCTTGAAAACAAAAATAAAGTATTTGCAAGTAGTTACATAAGTTGCAACAATAAAATGTTGCTCACGCTTTGCTACACCAGCCTTTTAGATCTAATATTGCGATACATAATCCACTGCAAAAGTGAAGCTAGTTCTAATCAGAATTTGGTTTTATCCACGCGATATTTAGGCAGTGGCTTCCTTTCTGGAAGGCAGCCGCACTATATGACAGCTCTTTTATTACATGTTCAATTACACGTCATTTAGCTGATGCTTTTTATCTAAAGTGACTTACGATAATTGCATTTCAGAACAAGAACTTAAATTTTTATCAAATAAGCCGACCTTCAACTGGCTATAGATGAGAGCCATTACAAGTACAATTTAAGTGCTCCAATGTGTTTAGTGTTTTTATTTATGGTACAGTCTGAAGAGGTGTGTCCTTAGTTCGCGGCGGAAGATGCAAAGATGGTCCTGATGTCATCAGAGAGCTTATTCTAACATTTCGTCGGAGCCAGGATAGAAGAGTCGTGACCTTGTTGAGTGTTTTGATCTCTGTGACTCTTAAACAAGTTGCCTCACCTGTCTAGTCACAATGTTAGAATTCCCCTAAAACACAGTTGGCATTTTTCGAACTCCTGCTTTTGCATGGATGAAACAAACGAGAATTGTTGCAAAATGAGCGACCTTGGGATGTGGTTGGTGATCATTAGCAGTTCCGCCTTTTAGTGGTGTGGTGAAAAGGCCTGTTGCTTCCCAGCAAGAAGACACTGGGTTGGAAACCACCCAGTTGCCTCTCGGTGTGGAGTTTGCCATTGCGTTTCCTCCGGGGTACTGCGGCTTCCTCGCACAGTCCAAAGACATCCGGGGGTTAGTTTAGTGGACTAGGCCGATTCAAAAGGTGCTCACAAATGCTCATCGTTTAACTCGAGGCCGGTCCGGTAGACGGAACAAAGAGTAATGGGGGTGTAACCCGGAGAATCTCAACGCGGGACGGCGGCCTTGTACTCAAACGTCGGACCCATCGAGCCTAATCTGTGGAGTGTTGTGGCCTCGGGCGAGCAGGGACACAGATGACATGTCGACACCAGAGGGCACTCTGGTACTACAACAACAACAACAACAACCGAGACCTTGAAGCTCACTAAATGTTTTATGGACGAGCTCGCGGGAAGTAACACGAGGATGAAGCGTATTCTGGAGACAAAACACAGGATTTTTAGGTTGCCTTTGCCTTCACGGTGCCTCGGGCTGATGGAACACGCAGCTCCTCTTTCCACGTGCAGAGACCCGTGCAGGCAAACACTAAAACCGCAGCACGTTCATCACGCTCGAGAAGCATCCCGAGGCAAAGCACTGCTTCACAAAGAGGGTTAATGAGTGCAATGATGAGTCGTATTGTTTATTTCAGATAAGAGAAACAAACATCAGACTGGTAAAGTAACTTTCATATTGCTGACAACATTTCAGTATTTGAAAAATGTTATTGTCTGTAAAACGAAACGCAATAACCAGAAAAGTGTAATTCCATAAATCCGCACCATCATGTGTCGGCCTGCTGTAATACGTCCTCCAGGGCACTAGAGAGCGTAGAGCTGCAACCTGAGCATGTACTTTATATAAAGTTCAGACTTCCAGGATCGATTGAGAATGTCCGACTGGCCTCGGGGCACGGTCCAAAACTTTAATATACAGTGTTATAAGATTTAAAAATAGAGAAATGTCCATCCGTGACAAAAAAATGTGGTATGAATTTCTGCTTGCTAAATGACTTAAAATGATTTACTTATTTCAGACAAAGGCTGCAAAACCTGTTTTTGTAATTTGCATAATCATTAAGCCTTAAGCAATATTAAACCTAATACAGTCCAAAATCATGTATAATAAATTCGCTGCAGTTCTTGTTCTTTAACTGTGAGCGATAGTAAAAGGGAGCTTTAATTTCTGCTTCTTCCATCGCTTACCAGATTTAAAACCTTTCACTCGCGCCTCGCGGGGCACATCAGCCTGGAATCGGATAAAGGTCTCTCAAAGGAGAATTCAGTGACTTTTCAATGGACACTTTACCCCCGGGGGGGAAAAATGTCTACTAGAGGACGGACAGCTTCTCCTGGTAGAAAACCCCCGAATCAAAGCAGGGAATATGAAGCCACTTCTCCTGAGGCTCCGCTGCTTCAAACAGCTGTAATCATGATGCAACACCACTCAACTTCTGTATGAAATAACAAAGCAGAAAGGCTCAAAGTTGCACACAAAAAAAACATTACTTTCTGACGTAGTGAACAACAGATTTTAGCTTTTTATCTGGATTTGGAACTGAATATTTATTCACTGCCACCACTTTAACAACCAGTAATTCAGCGGCGTCACAGGTGGCAAACAAAGAGGGTCTCCTGAATGCGGCGGCTCACCCGCGGTGAGGGAACACTGAAGCAATGCAGACATCTTGTTATTCATCATGTCGCATGTCCGGCCCTCAGCCAACATGGCAACCAGCAATAAAAAGAGCGCCCAACCTCCAGCTGGACAGCAGGGCTGGGAGTTTGGCACACCTCTACTAAAATGCCTCGCATAGAAGTTGTACTCAACTGGAACAGGTATTGACACGCAGAGCCTACATTTCGGAGGATTTGTCTGCCTCCCAAAAATGTTTCATTTGAGGGTTAAAATTTCACCTATGTTAGATAACGTGATGGATCATGTTCGCTCTAAAGACTAAAGTAACAGCAGCGTCCGCGTTTAAACAGCTTGACATGTGCAGCCCTGGTTCTCTGCTCATCAAAGACAACATTGTAGGGTGCTAAGAGCTCTCTAAGAACAGGGTGATTTATAACTCAATTGGAATCATTTCTTCATAACTGACATTTATGGTTCCTAAAAAAAATGTCTTGACTTGTTGTTGCTCCCCTGACTTTTGATTCAGTGATTTAGCGTTGGGTCAAGTTAACTTGGTCAACACAGATTGTGTAACCGCAGGATCCATGGTAACAGTAAATACACATTAAATATACAAATCAACACTAGCGACATGGATCTATGAAACATATGAAGAATATGTTAGAATATCAATATGAAAATACTCATTAGGTGTAAGGGAGCTAATTTGATACAGTTTTTGGTTTGAAATAGTGAAGAATGAGTGACAGAAACTATGAAGCGAAGAGACAGCCGAGGTGTTGTCGGGGGTGACAGTCTCGGGCAGCAAAGATTGCCTGAATCTCAGTTAGAGAAAGAGCTCTGCTGTCTGTCCAGTAGGTGATTAAGAGGGGGAGGTGGGGTGGGGGGGGCTGTATTATCTATGATGGGTAACCTTTGTTCAGGGCCGTCCTCTGCAACACATCTTCTAAGGTGCCTGGTGCCCCTAATTACAGAGCCGGCCCTCCTAATCACTTCATCAACACTAGTCCAGTGCACCGGCCCAAACACCTCGCTGCACGTTAAAGGATCTCCCAGTCGATGAAGTAGTTTTTAATAAGATTCAAATTGTATTTAGTTCCAATAGGCTGATGTTAGCTGATATATGTTGTACATCGTATTCCACTCGCTTGGTCAAAATAATGGAGGTGGCAAATAACACTTCTATGAACACAAAAAAATAATTGTTTCAAATTCAAACATATATACAGTGCTTCACTAATTGTAGCCCTATCAATAATGAAGTGATTGTTACTTTACTTTTTAATAACCCCTAGAACACCCTATATGTAAATAAAACATTTGGAATAGCTATTGTGGTAATTGTAGGGGAAGATATATTAATACTGGACTGCTATGACATCATATTCTTAAACACCTGAGCAGGTAAAAATATTTCAAACAAAGAAATATGATGCAGATACATTTTTATTTTTCATATTAAATTATCTAGCTTTTCAAACCCTCAGATTGCAAACAGGGGATGTTTCAATCTAGTATGCTAAAGTGCTTTTATAAAAGCATTGGCCTTAACACGACTTCATTCACATTTAATACAGTACAATTCAGTGTCTGACCCATCGGTTATTCATTCAGTCATGGCTACTGTAAACTAGTTAGATTATTACCTTTTAATTTAAAAACCTATCAATGCACTACAGTCTCTATTTTAATGCATTGAAGGACACAGATAAAGAGACAAACAGATTTTTTGCAGTAATTTATTGTACATTAATACATTACCCACAAACCTCAGCTGCAGCTAAAGCACACTACAGTGTGTTCACACAATGATGGGTGCACAGGGGCCATCATCAAAAAGAACAATCATTAAAAGTGTCAGTTATCATAAATTGTTGTGACAAATCACGTCATTACCATCACCAAGAACCCAACACCACCTGAAAATAATCCCCTTACTAATATTCAAACAAAGTCAGAAACACAGCAAACTGGGGTCAAATGTATGCATTTGTTTTGAAGCACCAGCTGGCTGGTATTTACTTCAGTTTGAGGAATGACCAGGAAAAAATACCTCTATATCTGAAAGAGCATCCTCCAGATTTGTAAAAGTTAAACCAAATGCCGAGAATCACTGGCAGACCGTAGTTTGCATCCTACTGCACCTACAAAAACAAGAGCACTGCACCCAATTTCCCTTTACATGGACAACACGGACAACACACACAAATGCACAGCGGAAAAGGAAGTGTGATGATTTTTATTTTAGTTTGTTCTTCTTTTGGAAATGTACCTGTTGTACCCGATTCCAAAATGATCACGTTTGGCTGCAGCATGGATGTGCTGGGAGGACCAGATGGGCTTTAGCAAGCACAACCAAAGCTGGATTTAAACCGTACAGCCGAAGCAGCCGCCGCAAACCTCGCTGTCCACCCACAGACACGTCTCTCAATAGGCCGGACGTGTTCCGAGGGACCCGTGTCCAACTAATGATAAACAGCAGCACTTGAAGCACCTCGGGCCGAAGAAATAAACACGGGCGAGCCTCAGGGAAATTATTAGAGATTCAGTAAACAGCCGCGGCCCTGTGCCAGTCACACAGGAATAGCATAATAAAGAGCCAGTTCTTTCTTTACTATTTTCCTTGATAATTGCTACTTCCCAAAACACACAGCTTTGATTTTATTTATTATTATTATTTATATGATCTCAAATAAGAGCGATCGGGTCTCTGTGGAGCTTGAGTATTATTTCATCTGCAACCTTTCAGAGGTTCAAATCGGAGAAGTTAAGCTTCTACAGCAGTCGGGCGGCTTCCCTCCTCGCTGAGCTCCCACACCGGCACGTCCCAAAGAAGTCCAACCCGGACTCCCGCCTCAGCCACGGAGCGCCGAATGTTAACAGCATGTGACCCCGGGGCAGCAGCGTGGATCGTACAGCCCTGGGCTCAGGTCAACTCTGGGTTAACGATGTGCGTGTGAAAAGCAGCAAAGTTATCCCAAGGTGGACTGTTGGCCCGGGGCACGGTGCCGAGGTGGGAACCGAGAGAGGCCTCCAACTTAATTTAACGTTCTTTGCATTTTAAGACATATGGTCAAACATCACGGCTGGAAGCAGACTGTGCTCAAAAGTCAACACAGGAGTGGACAGAACGACCCACAGGTGTTCTTGGTGTGTGCTGGTCCGTGGCTCACTTGAGGTTTTGGTGCAGAAACTCTAAACAAGAGCCAGCATGATGAGAGACCTTTGTTCTATGAACCCGAACCCAAACATGCAAATCCTCAATGCATCATAGCAGCATATTTCTGGACCTCCAGCTCCAAACACACTTTCCTACATGGGTGTGACTGGACGGGGGGACGGGGGGGGACAGGGACGCCTACGCCCAGCTTTTTGATTCAGTTACGTGACCCGCGGGGGAACCGAGGTCACGGGCTCAGACGGGGGTATAAAGTGTCAACGGACCCGGGGGTTCAAGGTCCACTGCTGGACGCTGCGCACACAGAGCTAAGCCAACTGCACAGCACGAAAGAAGGAGAGCACAGTGACATCAGCGTCCCCTGTCCTGGAAAGAGAGGAGACAGGAAGTCGTGCAAGCCCGGCCCTTTAGAAGGGAGAGCAACGTCCCCTGGGAGAGTGCAAGGTGGCCCTGGGTGCTTTAAGAGGGTGAACTCTTTATACATTTAAATTCTTTTAATTTTAACATCACTGCCACAGACGGCAGAAGATCCCCCGGAGGTCTCTCGGTCTCCACTTAGTGTCATCTTCTCAATTAAAGATGCGGAATGAGGCTCAAGGCCGTTTTTGTACAATCGTTTCAAGTGACACAAAAATAACAGCGCAGGCTTTAACAGCAACATCATGGACAATTCTTAACTGGAATCAAAGGAATAAACATTTCACACACCCCCCGTTAAAATTTGAACTTTTCTATTATTATCATATTTTTTTAAATAGATTTCCTGAAAGTCTCATCTGTGGCTGCGGCTCTTAAAGGCGTACGGTGTTGATGCGCAGCGGCTGCACGTTCTTGCCGTTGGCGTGGCTCTGGCCCGGGCTGAAGTAGGGGAAGACCTTGGCGGGGAACTTCTCCCGGTAGGTGTAGAGCCAGGACATGTCGTCTGCATTGTAGAAGATGAGCAGGCCCTTGTGGTAGTCTAGGTACACGCCCACCTTCTCCAGCTTGCTCTTCACGTTGAGGCGGGTCCACGGCTCGGTGCAGGCGCTGTACTGGTTGCCGTCGTGCATGACGATGCAGTAGAAGCCGCGGCTGGGCTGGATCTGGATGCTGCCCTTGCGGCTGACTGTCTCGTGGGCCACGCCGATCATCCACTGGGTCTTCTCCGACACCATCACCTCCCAGTAGTGGACCCCCGACATGAAGCCTTCGGCGCCCAGAACGGAGACCTCCACGTCGAAGCGGCGTGGGGAGTCCTGCAGGGGTTGCGGGTGGAGATTCCCGTAGGCCACTATGGTGCAGTCGTCCGAGAGGATCAGTCTTTGGTGGGCGGTGATGGGGTCGAGGGTCAACGCCACCGGCACTGAGGACGAGACAGTTTTGGCACGTAAGAGTCAGCATTTGTGTTGGAGAAAACCGTCGGCCTCGATAAACGGGCCGGTCAAGAAGAAGAAGTGAGAACACAAAACAAACGCTGTGGGATGAGCGAGCGTGGTCAGACACAAAAGCCAGGAGGACCGTGGCGTCATTCGCGGAGCCTCGTTTTTCTCCATCCAGCAGTTTTCTGCTGAGGCAGATAGAAAATACAGCGAAGGCTTTAAGGGAGAGGTGAAGGTTATGAACTCATCTGTGGAAATGCTCCAATATATACACTGAAAATAGTCACTGAAAATGTTTGGAGTTTTATTTTAGTTTGTACACGACTACGGTGGGAAATTTAAATCGATGAAAGAACAAGTCTGCTTTCTGCCTCCCTGACCTTAAATGTGGAATCCCTGTTACTCCGTGGAGGCCGATTTAACTTAGGTTGGGATACTCAAATCATCGCAAAATTGCATTTCTGGAAAAGAAAAATCTGTGTTGTCCATGAAGTTATGACATTAAAATTCACTGGGAAGATGGGCTGAGCAAAAACAGGTGATCAGTTGATGCCGCGTCATTTGAGCACTGTTAAAAAATGTAAACAACGAGCCGTTCACACACAAATGTTTATCTTAAAAGAAACTATGTGCAGATTACTCTGGATGGATTGCTTCATTGAGGATGGTTTCTTGTGGTGCTGCTGCTGCTCAACTTCTATTTCAGGAAGATGAGCAACATTCTCTATAAATCACCTTTACCTTTACGCATAAAGCAGAGTCTTTAAAGTCAAGTGCTCTCCGACGGCTGAGAGTCGAGCTCAGCCTGAGCAATATCAGACAAAGGGAAGCTCGAGGCAGTAATTACACCGACGGCAGGAGCTGGTCCAGCTCGCTCCACAGGCTTCAGGACGTAGGAGGCTTTTTCTCAGCGCAGTTATGTGATTGAAGAAGGGGCAATTGCCCACCCGATTGCTTATTACGGAGCCATATCAGGGTGAACAACAGATTGTTGTTGTGGGAAAAGCCTTGTTTTAGTTCCTCTTTATGTACATCAGGATGAAAGTGACACTTTTGCTACTCAATCGTCTTCAGGGTTTGTTAAAGTCAAGTCATTCAAACTGTATAACATGCCTGCCTTTTTGTGTCGTACAGAGAAACCCGAGAGCGCACACACTTCAGCAGAGAAACTACTTTTCTCAGTAATTCAGCAGGGTGGAAAAAAATAAATAAAACCGCACACCGTGTGGTAGTTATTCTCGCCATCACTGACAGCGAGGGATGATGGGAGCAATGTCTTTATTTCGTCTCAGGCTACTACTGGTGATGGATTGTGACCAATTGTTCCATTTGGCAGGCAGTCAAGGGAGACCAACCCGCCCCACAGCAGCGGGCTGAAATGGGAGAATTGATTAAGGGAGTAAAAAAAAAAAAAAAAAAAGAAGAAGAAAAAGAAGCACATTCTTCTAAATGATCTCCTGTGAGTGAGTGATTTCTGTAGCGCAGAAGGAGAAGAGCTCCTCCACGCACTGGCAAACACTGGAGGGCATCGCCGCCCACCATTCATGGTCAAAGTCCAATCCTGGTTCAGGGGCACAGTGAGTCACACGTTCAGCTACTGAAGTACAATTCCATAATTAACCTGTTAAAAAAAACAACTGATGGGTATCGTAGCTTAGCGCGAAGACGGAAAAACTGCTTTCATGTCCGCGGTCCAACAGGTGAAAAAATCCTCTCTGAAGCGTGCTAAAGAAATCGGCAATCAGTGGTTTTAAATGGAGATCGACTCAGAACTGCGAGTAAAACCACACGGAGGAGATTTGAAGTGTGAGCTTTAGAGGCGTCGGAGCCAAACAGGCCAGACGTTCCCTTTACCAAGCAGCACGTTTGCATGATATAAATCTCGTGTTTAATTCATGTTTACCTACCCGGTGAGATATCCTGGAAGAGAGACTTCCATATTGTGTACTGTAAGGGCCCCATGTACTTGGATGTCGGGAAGTCTTCATACGTCAGATTGGTCTCATGTATCTTCCCTTTTATCCTGAAACAGATAAACAAAAACAAAAAAGATCAGTGATAATCCAAGTCCAATTTGCTGCTTTACCCTTAATTACGCCACCTCTGGTTCAACGTTGCTGCTTAAAGTATTAATCTGGTTTGTGACTTCAAATGTGCCATAACTGAAATTGCTGACAAACTGCTTCAAGGATCTCAAGCAACAGAGACGAATGCAGTGGCGAGAAGGGGGGGGTCAGCCCTAACGCCATAACAAAATGATTCAATATATATGAACCTCCGCATGAATCACTGCACACACTCCCACATGCAGTCCAGAGTTCAGGCGAGAGATTGAGTGGGTTGCAGTTTACCAGGTTGAGATACTGAGAATACAATGTTGAAGGGACCTTACTGTTTTTGTTCATTGGTTTATTCCCTGTGCATTTTTCCCCAGACAAGAGGGAATGCAAATAAATATTAAAATGTTTCTGTGCGTATTATTCATTCTTTGAAGTATTGTGCATTTTCCCCAGACAACAGGGAATGCAAATAAATATTATCATGTTTCTGTGCGTATCATTCATTCTTTGAAGGATACGTACGTTGATCATAAACGCTTGTCCGTCATATCTACACACATTCATTCATGTACCATCTCTTCCCACGCTTAACCCTCCAGGTTAGAAGAAATAGTTTAATTCGGTCCCTCTTGCTAGCTGGATATTCGACCTTGTTAATCTGCTCAAAGATATTAAACCACTCAATTAAACCGTCGAGTTCTCCTCGCAGATTAAACTCTACAGCAGGTTTATTTCCGGCCTGATGCACCATCTGTTCAGAGATAATCTCATGCTGCTGCTGCTCAAATCTGTACTTTCTACAAAATGTAAGCAACTTAACGACTCGCCGCAGCAGAGAGCACACATGTTGAGAGATAAAATTCTTACAACAACTATAACAGCAAATATTTTACATTTTGCCAAAGTGTTGATGCAAGACTTCAAGAGTTGATAAAAACCTGATCCGTCTTGAAGCGAATGTGTTTACAACCACATTTTCGTTCTTATCGCAGCGCAGTGATGATACTGGGACTGCTTTAGCAAACTCGGAGCAGGTGAAGCACCTCTCAGATGTGACGGCTATTCCCTCCAGGAAGTCGTGCCTTTCCGTCTCGTTGAGGCGCTCCTGCAGGATCTGGATGCCCTCCTTGACGTCGCGCAGCTGCTGGCTGTAGCGCTGGATCTTGTGCTCGATGTCGGCCAGCTTGCGGGCCGTGTCCGTCTCCAGCTCCTCCAGCATGCTCTTCTGGCGCTCGCGCAGGAAGCGGTGGAGGCGCTCGAACGCGTCGCCGATGGTTGCGCGCAGACTCTTGGCTGAGGACTGAAAAAAAAAAAATGACATGGTGCTTTAAAAAAAGAAAAATCAGCAGCCAGACCGTAATGTTACATCACGCCTCAATGATTCAATTTGTGTAGCTTTTAAGGAGCTCTTTGAGAACTGTGCCTCTATAAGATTGCACTGAGAGATTAAAGTAGCCATCACGCAGAAATAACCCGACCAGGGCGCCTGTGAAGACGTCTGATTGGCTGACCGGTGGCCGGAGAAAGAGCCTGGAGCTATTACTGACACAGAAGAGCAGTGTGCAGGCGACAGTGGACTGGGGGATGAAGCAACGGATTTGTTACTAAAGAGGGAAAATGGGAAGCTGGACATTAAAGAGAATGAATCATCGGAGTGTCAGAGACACAGAATGATTATAATCATCTGAGGAAGGAAAAGACTGACCTTCATTCAGAGGTTTTCATGAAAATATTCTCCCGTCAGTCGTGAACAGTCAACGCTTTACTAAAAAAATTTTGTAGTTGTGTTTGTAGAATAAAATCTAACCAAAGAAAACAAGATACACATGATCCAAACAAGAAATTCAGAAGAAACTAGGTACATTTCTCTGTAGGGAATTACCAGCACTCCTTTTTTTTAGGATTTAGGAGCTGAGATCGGCGGTTTAATTAGACTCCACAAAGAATTCCATCAATCCTTCAAACAGCAGGCGTGTTCCCCCTGTCCAGGTATTTTCACTCTGCCCCCGGGGGAACATTTCAGACGACCATTTCTCTTCAAGCATGACAGATGGGACACTAAGGCGGGCTGTATGGGGGCCCTCCTGCCTTGTTAAGGGTTGAAAACTGATGTGGAGAAGGAAGAAGAGGAGGAGGAGGAGGAGGAGGAGACGAAGACGACTGCTGCAGCCCAGCCATCAGTCTGTGAGTGGCGTTTGCTGCTGCTTTGGTCCAGCGGGCTGTGAGGCGCGGAGAGGGTGTCTGCAGCCCTTGGAGACAGTGGGCTGGTTACCTTACAGGATGGCATGTGATCATCAAGTGAGGCTGTGAAGGGCCTGTGAACGGGACACAATGTCTATTCGTCAACCCGCCGCGGCGCACGAGCCATGGACCCGAGGCGTTCACTCCCGACACCAGTAGAAGAAACTGATCCGCAGTCCGTTCATCAACATTTAAAAAGGGGAAACCCACAGATTTTGCATATCAAAGTCCGTTTACAGGTCTCCGGGTTCGCTGCTGTATGTGTGAGATTCCCTCAAACAATGTCACTTGAGTCAGCGCCGCTTGGGCCTGAAGGTGAAATGAATAAGTAGACTGGAATTAGAAAGACGGGAGGTCACGAGTCCTCATACCTCCTCGTCTCTGCTTTAGGCTCGAGGCTTCAGTAACCGCCATCATAACACACACGGCCAGTGGTGGAGATGCATTATGGGTAATGTAAGTGCTAAACTTCAACAAAAATCGGACAATATCTCTGGCTGTGCCTCATTGATTATTTATTTTATTTTGAGTCTGACACCAAAATGCAATGCGAAGTGGATGGAGTACTCCGTGAGCGATCAATCCGGTAAAAACAGCGAACAAACGAACGCAGGGAGACGTCTCATTGTCAGCTGCCTAAACCCATCAGAGGCCGACAGTCACAGTGCGGCTCCCTTCCAGGCAGAGCACTTACACACTGTGCAAATGGATGCAGATCTAATGAGATCAGCTCGTTTCCAGCGAGGAGCGAGGGCGGTGGAAGGCCTACATCTGGCAGTCAGGGGGTGGACGCGGGGGCGGTGGGCGGGCTGGAAGGCACGGAGCGGTGCTACGACGTCGGACGGCAGGTACAAAAAGAACAGAAGGGGAAAGATGAACGTGCTCCCTGAATGAGAAATAAGGCTGACAGAGAGCCTTCCCCGGGCAGCAGCTTCAATGTCACTTTGGGGGAGACGAGGTAACAGAAGACATGTGTGGACGAGGGGGGACATAGAGGACTAGAGGATCATGGTACGTGGATGTAAAAAATAAAAATGATATATTTTTATTTAATATGATTAGCAAGCTGGAAATTATAGTAAAAAGTATTTTCTGCCTTGTAAATGGCAAATAGACAATAATGAAATCATTTGATGAGCTAAATATTTCTGTCGATCAAATAAGCAGTGTATCCAACACTAGTGAAAAACAATCCAGGACCAAGTTAAAGAAAAGCTGCTTTTCTTTTTAAATTGAATGTTTTTCAGTGTTCAGGAAACTCCTATTCGACCATTTACTGACAGCTCTATGAACTATAGATAGTGGAACTGATTTTATTTGTAGCTGTATGCAGCCGATTAACCTATAAACGAGAATCATTTGCTTGACAAAGCACAAGTGTTTGGGTACCTTGGTCTCAGTAAGTTGTCTCTGCAGGAGCTGCAGGGCCTCAGTGTGTCCCTTCTCACTGTCCTGCAGGGTGGCCAGCTGCTCCTTCATCTCCCTCTGCAACACAACAAACAACAGGTCACCATCGGAGCTCCACTCCACGGAACCGAGGAATACATCCGATGTATTGGGAGGATTTCATTATAAATCATTTTCCATTTAAAATGCTCCACGACCTCTTTGCTCAAATCATCCAAAAACAGCTGCATGAAAAGTAAGGCTTATATTCTCAGCGAAACAGATATTTTTGCAAGCCCTTTCCAATTTATTTAAATAATACCACTTGTGTAACAGCTCTCTGCTCGGGCGTGATGCAGCAAAGATTTAAGGCTTAGCTACAAAAACAAGCAAGGCAGATGGAGAGCAAGATATGTAAGCGATGAAATGCAATCTCGGGAGATGATGGGCTGTGTCGGAAAGAAAACTGGGTCTCATCTCTAGTCAGGCACACGCTGGCACGACTTGCACCACTCAGCCACCTTCAAGCCCCCCCGAGGCGTGAGGGAGGCTCTGCAGAAGCCAACTGGGACGGTTATTGTGCAGGTCCCGTGTGCTAACATGCGGCGCACTCAGATTCAGGTATTGGGAAAGTAGTTCAGCAGATTCCTTTTCCTTAGAGACGGGTTCAAGTACAAGGTAGTACAAGTACAAGGCTAGCTTCAGAGTGCTTCGCTGTTGAGTGATTGGTTGGTATTTTTGTACTAAATCAATTGCGAGAAATGAATTAAACGGTTTTTAAATTCAGGGTCTCACTGAAAGCCTTTGATTTGTTGATGGTACGCCTGTTGGCTCTAAAATACAGCATTACGTACTAAAGAGTGAGCAGTCAGAACACAAAGATCAAAAGAACGATAAACCGCGTCATGAACCTGACCTTCGTCAAAATGATGTTGGGCAGTAAAATAAAGTGCCTATAAAAACCTTTTGGTGGTAAAATAGCATTCAGATGAACTTCTAGAGGGCTTGTTTTCATCAGTAAAAGTGGTAAAACCCAAAACAATTACATCAGGGAAGAGCGCTTTTACATTGAAATGATACCTTAGTCAGTTTCCAAAAACTTTAGCAAAATAATCAACCAAACGTATAAATGATTATGCAAATAAATAAATTAGAATTTACATATATGTGTGATTGCAGTAAAAATGGGATCTTTTCCTTTGCTCTTGTTGGGGAGAAAATTGAAACAAATGGAGGAACCAGGCCCCGGCCTCATTTATTACAAACCCCCACTGATAATACAGCCCTGCTGCTGGTCCCTCTGCTCGTGTAACCCGTGTGTCACACCGTTACCGCCTACTGAACACCAACCGCGGTAGAAATCCACCAAACGGAGCTGTCAGCTAAGCGGGGATAATAAAGCAAACGTCGCTGAGCTACCAGGCTGAAATAAATGAACAGAATACCTCTCCAGTGACAGGAGAAATGCATAAGAACTCGACCTTCTGCAGGACAAAACAACGTTAACATATTGCGATGCATCGGGAACCTTCGTGACCACGGTGATTAGCTAGATTAGATTAAAAAAATGAAAAACGGTCCGAATGTGGGCTGCTTGGACGTGACGCATGTTTCCTCTCAAGGACAGAAGCGGTGGGAAACAATAGCTGGTGCAGAGGGGGGGGGGGGCGGGGCGCGTGACTCTCCATGCTAATGACAGGAGGGCGGCAGGCTCAGCGGGCTCTCCGCCTCATCACTGCACGCTTGTCTGCAGCGGGTCAAAAGGCCGCTCCCACGCGGTGAGATAGACCAGCGCTGACAGACCGGCACCGAAAACACGCTCCTCCGCTCTGCTGCTGAAAATTGTCTGTCTGTCCGTCTGACTTGACGGGTCAGGGAGGGGGCCGGTAGACGGATGCCTCCCCGAGAACGCTGACTCCAGAAACACATCGTCCGGTGCTTTAAACATCCACCATCTGCCTCGGAGAAATCACCTAATGCTCATCCATAACATGCGATTATCATTCATAGTGACAACTGAGAATGGAAGCCAGAGCCGTAGTGTCATTAGTAAACACGGGCGAAGAATTCACATCTGAATTGGATGGGATTCACTGACATCTCGAGGAAAAGCTTCATTATGTGAAAAATCAAAAGACAAAAACTCTGACAGGGTGTGTGTGTGTGTGTGTGTTTTTGTGTTGTGAAAGGAGGGGTCTCTCTCCTGTCCATCACATCTGGCCAACACAAGTCTGACATGACATTTCCCCCGGACATCAAGTTGCTGGAAATGGGGGTCAAGGCTTTAAATCTAAAATATATTAAATCATGCTGCCATTCCCTTCTGGCTCTTCCTCTCCTGTCAGGTTAGCAGCTCAGGCAGATGTATTTATGAGTAAATTAATGAATAAATAATAGACCTCAGATCAGCCAGATTCAAAATGTGCACGGAGCTTAAATCCCTCAAACTTTCCTTACAGCTGCGAGCTCGATTATGTTCAGCAGCTCGTTGGGGATTGAAAGAGCGTTATTGACTGGAAACTGCCAGCCCCGAAGAAGAAGATTGAACAAAACAACACGCGCCACGGCATGAATATTAAAAAGCCTACAGGACGGAAAACTTCCGCTTACACACAGACAGGACGAGCTTCCAGGGGTTTCATTCACATGCACTGAGCAGAGAAAAATAATGATATATAATTGCACCTACCTATAAATATATACTTAATATATAATTATACCAATACATTATGTTGTACCTCCTGATGTCTATATATGTAAGAATATTCAGACCTACCTATACCTACATCGCTTATGATATACAATTGTACCTATATATATATATATGTATATATATATTATACATTATGAGAATATTCATTTCTGCTAAACCAGGTGATATTTCATTGATTCCTGTCTGGAGTAAAATATGTATGAATATAAATTAATATAGTAAAACAAAAAGGAAAGATGGAATGCTTTTTTGATTCGGCAGAAAGAGTAAGAAACCAAACAGAAAATTGTGGATGGAATATGTGCTGCTTTTTCCACTCAATGAAATGAAACCAACAGTGAACATCGGCAGGTTGTGACAACACAAAAGTCTACATGCCGACCGTTAACATCTGGGGATAGAACACATTGTGCAACCACACAGCCTCTCAAAATACTTAGTCATAGTCATCACTCGGGCAACAGAGGCTGATGCATCGGAGACTGATCCCCAAAATGAGTCACCTCTTTGCCTGATGGGACGGCTGGCTGGCCCCGTGCAGAAAGGCAACCAAGGAAATACATTTAAATAAGATATATAAATAAAGAAAAGGCAGAGTAACAAAAATGCCGTATTAACGCTGCGCACAGTGGCGAATCTTTACTCGGACGTCAAATTGAGCTCCAGCTGTGGCTTGCAGCGGGGGGGAGGGGGGGTTGGGGGTGCATCCTCCCCCGGAGCTGCGGGAGAAACCTCAACATCTTTCCCACAGAGACACAGTTGTGCATCCGCGGAAAACAACAGGCCGTGGTACTTTCAGCTGTGTGGACTGATATGTGAAATGAAAATCAGCATTATTAGGACAGCAAGCAACCATTATTTTCATTACCACGTTTCACTCGAGTGCTGTAAGATTGCTTATTAAATTGATGAAATTAATGTCAAAAAGTTCCTTAATGTACAGATTGCTTGCATTGAATGTCAGCCAAAAAAATACCAAATTCTTGTTTTGAACTTGTTTTTTCCGCAAAGGATTTGCTCCTTTTCACTGGTACTAAATTTAATTTATTTTTTTTGTACTGCTAGTTAGATGAAAAGAGGAAACCTTTTACTGGCAAAATGCATAGAAAAATGTCAGGTATGTGATAAAAAGAACTTCCATATAGAATGAACTGAAAAAATCTCTTCACTTCTGCTTTTGATAAATTACTTAAAGATGAATTGAGATTCATTGTCCGTTTTTAATCCACCCTTAATGGAAGTGCAATTACTGTACAACAAATTGAGCGGATACAAACGCGCCAATTCACCGTCTAGCTTTATTAACAAGCAGCACTATATTTTGGACAGAAATGTCGACATTAGAGCCAATGAAAGAGGTCTGCTGTGACCGATCCTGGATCAGAAAAATGACCCCAACATTTACGGCATGTATTTCACAGGGAACATTTGGTGACGGCAGCTGGGATTACTGGAAGCCCTCCTCCGGTCCTGTGAATATGGGGCACGTCATGTAAATGATGAATGCTCAGAGGCTGCTGCTCCACTTCCCGGAGCGAGGGAGGCCAAAGAGTATGCAAGTGTTTTACCTCCAACATGAACAGCTAAGGGCGAGAAAACAACAACAACAACAGCACGTCTGCTCCTATATTTTTATAGATTTATAATTTTTGGATTGCTCACAAAAAAAGGTCAAACGCTTAACTAAAGACAGCAGGGATATTATCACATATTATTAGTGTGTGTGTTATTATCACCGGGGAAACAAAGTGGCTGCCGGGGTCCCGGTCGATAATCTACACGGTGCAGGACGAGCCATTTAAAGAGGAACAAGGGGTTCGTTGCTGGCACTGGAGTGGGAATCTGAGAAGTGTCACGCGATAAGAGCGAGCCTGCTGTTTGCAAAGAGTCACCAGCTTGACGGAAGCCTCTCAGCGCGTCGCCGTTTGTTACGGCAGAACACGAAACACGACTCAGAGCTAAAAAAAGCAAACTTTTGCAGCTGGGTAAAATGATTCCACAGACGACCCAACACGTGCCTTTCCCAACGCTCTCATCTCCACAACCGCTTTTCAACCCTTCTCTGAAAAGCTCTTATTGAACCCTGTCAGGAGCGGGATGCTGATCCTGGAGGGGGCTGCACATCAGCGATGCAGGCAGCGGGCGAAGAAACGTCTCTCTTTAGGCCCGTTGGATGAAAAACAAACCAAACTCCTTCTGCACACCGCCGTCTTCCCTCTGAGGACACATCGGGGTAAACACGGCCCGAACGCGACCCCTTGGATGCGTTTCACTGCCGGCAGATTTCTCCACATCAAAACAGGAAGCTTGTGCCGTCTTTAAAACCTTCGTAGGATTAAGACAGACTTCTAATAGTCAGCAGCAGTCAACATGCGGTTAATGTAAT